CAAATAAGATAATTAAAAGTAATTTAGTAGGTATAGAACCTATATACTATTAGCAGTATTAGAACTAGTAACTATAAGAGTAATATAAGAGTAACAGTAATTAAAGTTTTAATAATATATAGTAGAGGGCTTAGAATATAGAAACTAAGTTATATATTTACTTTAGCTAATATTATAAGAACTTATATATACGCTAGTAAATAGGTTTAGGGTACCTAATAATAGGTTAGGGTTAGGTTAGAGTAGACTGTGTGTTAGGTTAAAGTTAGGTTAAAGTAGACTATATATTAGGTTAAGGTTAGGTAGGAGTTAGTAGGGGTATAGCTAGTTAGGTATATAATAATAAGCTGTAGTAAAGTTCTCTAACTAGCTAAAGCCTACCTAACCTTTACCTTAGGTCTGTGCAACTCTAACTCTACTCTAACCTAATACTAGTAGAAAAAACTTAGGTTAGGGTTAGGTTAGAGTAGACTGTGTATTAGGTATAGGTTAAGTTAGAGTTAGGTTATACTTATATTAGACCTAACCCCTACCTAACCTTAACCTATTTACTAGCGTACTTATATATAGTTAAGACGTGTATATAACTAGATTATTATAGTAACGTAATATCTTAATCTTAATCTCTTTAATTAGCAGATAGATATATCTAATAGTACTTAAAGTTTTATAAACATTTTAACGTATAGCTTTATAAACTATTAGTTTAGCTTTCTTTTTAATCGTTTCTAAAACTAATAAAGCTAAATTTTATACTTAGCATTTCTAGCTTAATATTACTACTACTAAGTTTTATAAAAAGACTATTCTAATTCTAAATATTCACTATTTAAGTAGGCTTTTTTAGACTCTCTGTATACTACTTATAAAGAAAGATCTATAAGAGTATTTTAGAAAGTACAAAAGCTAACTATAAGACTATAGGATTAATTTAGAACAGGGCTAAAACTAACTTATAGGTAGTTTTAGTTATTTATAGTTACTATAATAGTAATCAGAACTAGGCGGCTTAAACTAGATTAAACTTAAGAGAAATTATAACTAAAAAGTAATAAAACGCGTGTTTAACTAAATTATAACAGTAGTTTTATTTAATAATTTATCTTCGATAGGAACCTTATAGATAAAGACTTTTTTAAGTCTATAGCCTAAAGCTAAACTAAAACTTTAACTACTGTCTAGGCTAATAAATACGTATCTGTCTTAGTAAACTTAGTAGCTATTTGTAATTTAATATGTAATTAGCTCTTTAGATTTACTATTATATACTTTAACTAATTCTTTCTATGTATAAAGTAGCTAGGTATTAGCTATTTAAACTAAGTTACTATTTTAGATTCTTACTATAGAGTGTTTATCTCCTTGTATAACAAGTATAAACACGCTAAAAATATAGAATAATAAACTATTCTATATAGAAATAAGTATAAAGTTATATTAAAAAAACTTAAAAACTCTTAGTAGCTAAATATCTTATTACGTTTATATTTACCGTTGTTCTAAGTTACACTATTAGACTTATATATATATATATATAGTTCTTACTTAAATTTATATCTATCTATTAGTAGGCTTAGTAATAGTATTTCGTCTTATAGTATTTATTCTACTCTCTAGTAGTATAATTTTCGTTCTATATTAGTATAAGGGTCTATTTAAACTACTATACTACTCTATTTTAATATTCAGTCTATCTTACTACTTTATTAATAAGACTACTAGAAGCTTTACATAATTTAGAAATATTATTAGCTAGTAAATATTAAGATAATTAATTTAATATAAACTATCTTAATTTATAGTTTCTAGAGTTGAAATTTAATCTAGTTAAATCCTTAACTATATATAACCAGTACTATTTAATAAGGAAGTTATATTTTTTAGACATATAGTCTTTAAAATTAGATTAAAGTAACTTTAAAATATATTCTAAATAATTCTTACCCTAGAGGACAGGGATTATTATATTACGTTACTATTATGTCTTAGTTTTATTTATATTTTACTTGCTTATTAGTTCTTATTATATTAGATAAAGTTTAACCTAGTTATAATCCTCTACTTTCTATTACTATTACTATTATTATTGCTATTATTGCTATTACTATTACTTTAGCCCTAACAGTTATTAGTTTTCATACTACTTATAGTATATATAGGTTCTATACCTACTTAATTACTACTACTAATCTTACTTACTAATTATAATACTTAGAATTTATAAAAGCTTACTTAAAGTAGCTCTTATTCAAGGTAAAAGTAGTATTATTATACTACTTAGTATTTACCTTATTAAGTTAAAAAAGTAAGGTATTAAAAAAAGCTTTATTAGCTTTATAAATTTCTATAATAAAGAGCTAAACTTTAACTTTATAAAGCTTTACTTTAAGCCTTTTATTAACCTTAAGGTACTACTAGATATTTAAATCTTTTATATAGTATATATTACTATTATACTAAGTAATACTCTTTATCTTTTTTTATTTTCTAGTTAGGTCTTTAGAAATCTTACTTTAAATATTTAAAGTACTATAATAGTATTAGAAATTATATATAGTAATCTTTACCTTACTAAGGTACTATAAAATCTAGTACTTAAATATCTAGGCTATAGTAATAGTATTATATTATAAGTATATAATCTTAGTTATAGTAAAATAAGATTTAAGATAGAATAAAAGATAGGTTAAAAAGCCTTAAAGTATAAAGAATCTTTATATACTAGCTTACTTACATAAACTATTATTACTTAAACTCTGTTTAAAGCTACTTATTATATATTTAGAATTACTAGTTAATTAAAGGGTTTTTATAACTTAGCTATAGTTTATAATATAAACTAAAGTTTATAACTAAACTAAACTTTAACTAATAGCTACTTAAGCTCTTAAATATATATCTATATTAGTATACTAAGCTACTAGTTATTAAGAGATAGCTAATTAGCTCTTTATTACTTTAACTATATACTTTAACTAATATTTACTATATAAAAAGAGGCTAGGTATTAGCTTTTATATTAAGATACTATATTAGATTCTTACAGTATTATATTTATCTGCCTATACTATAAGTATAAATATGCTATAAACTTAAAATAATAAATAACTCTTAGTAACAATTATTTCTACTTTTGAATATATATATAGTTACTATAGTTTTTCTACCTCCTTTTTATAAGAGCTAAACTCTCTAGTAAATATTAAAAAAATTAATAAACTATCTTTACTAATAATAAAAAGTTTAAGAATTAAATACTGTAAACAAGAATTTTAAAAGACTTTCTAGTATATATCTAATTTTATTACTAGTTCTAATCTATCGTTTATTATATAAACCTAGATAATACATCTATATTTTAGATAAGAGAGTATATAGTCTTTATTTATTTTATATATATATGCATTACTTTATGCGTATATATTTTTATAAGTAAAATAGAACTAAAAGTCTATTTAAAGTTTAAATTTTTACTATTACTCTAATTAAAATACAAGATGTAATTTCTAGTTTTAGCTATTTTTTAACTATAACTTATATTATTATAAGTATTATTAATCTTATAGATATATTATAGACAAAAGTAATAAAACAATTTAATAATTTAGTATATTAAAACTTAGTCTATTAAGGTTTTTTTCTAGTTAATTCTTAATATTCTATATAGTATATATAATAAATTTTGTTTTTTAGCAGTTTAATAAGGCTTATAGTAATATGCGCTAGTAGCTTTATATATAACTCTTGGTTGTTTGTATTATTTACTTAGGCAAACTTAATTAAGACTACCCAGCTAGTTCTCTGCTAGTAGATGCTTTTATACTTTCTGTCTCGAATCTTAATAGAAGCATAGCTGCCAATCCAGAAATGCGAGGTTAGTACACGGCTGCGGAGCATAGAGATAGAAACCCTGTTCTAAGGGATCATAGCGATAATCAACGCACGAATCCCAACGTGAGGAAAGGTTGAACTAAAATGATAGGCACCGTAACCCTATTATCCTTCCTCCCAAGTTGCTCCTCTCTCCCAATCCGATCTATCAGTCTATCAAGGTGTATTTCTGCTAAACTAGCCATTCCTTATTCTCAAGCACCAGTAGTCATGTCAGTAAACCTATTTATCACGATCCCTAGCCTAGACAAGCTTCTAGACAATCGTTGTCTTCTTTGTGCCTAGCGCAACGCTGCTTTGCACTCAGTCTGAATTTACTATACTCGCCCGCCCACCTCATTTGCGTCCAATATGCTTGCGCAAAGATCAACGCTCAATACAGATCGGTCTTTACAGTTGAAGTTCAACGACAGGGATGCGGAGATGCATAGGACGTGGCAGAAGAGACATCATGGGGGAGTAAAGGAACGGAGAGCAGCATGGGATCGGACCAGCGGCAGTGGGAGCGGGACAGGATATGGGGCCAATACATCATGAGCAGTAGAAAAGGAGGTCGGAGGTACATATAGCCCATCTCGTCTAACAGCAATGGTAGCCCTTGGTCCTATGCACAGGGTGTGAGTGCTGATTGTACTGTACAGCTAGTCTGTCTACTGGGCTGCACACAGATTGTGAAATGCCGGCGGCTTCCTATCGAAATACTGCTGCTTCAAGTGCAGCGGTTTGTGTGCCGCGACATCATCACGCTGCGTGCCGATAGCTACATCCTGCTCAGCGCATACCCAACTCCCAGGCATAACCCCCATCTTCCCATCATTTTGAACATATCTCGCGCCGCCCGAACCATCAGTCTCGCTTCCTTGCCGCCGCACCAACAACATCGAATGGTAGGACAGGAAAGGGTTTTCATCATCGAGATACCGGACGTTGTACGACGTGCAAGATGACGGAAAAGTAGACTTCGACACCGTCGACAATTTTATGCAACAATCAGACCAATGCATGCTGCAGCGCGACAAAGGTGCTATGACAATCTTCGTCCACATTACGCGAAACTCGAAATCACTCCCCATGATCCGTACCTCGACACGGTACGCCTATTCTGGTACTCATTGCAGCAAAACTAGGAGTTTTGTATGGCCATAGATCAGCTTCACCGTGAGCGTGGGCGGTTCAGACGTGTATCGCGCGCGGAAGCGACTTTGAGGGCAAGTGATGAGGAAGTGTCGCGTCGGCGTTGGCGTGGACGCGAGAAGATCGGGAAGATGTATGTAGATGGCGTGATATTGCTGTCGCGGGGCTTCATGAGTGAGCGACGCCTCGGAGTCTCGATTTGAAACGATTCTGTTGACGTGAGTCGCGATTCTGAGATGGGTGATGGAAAGGGAAGGGAGAGAGGAAGTGGTTGGAGGGAGGGAGTAGCAGACTGAAAAGAGGCGCTGCTGCTGTTGTTGAATTATGGGGGGGAAGCGGCCATTCATTGCGTTGATTTGACATTTTGTTGCTGCGAAGAACGCGTGATAGATTGCGAGGTTGATTAAACGAGCGAAGAAGGTATCAAGCACAGCTTCCTGAAGAAATACGGCCATTACATTCCGTGTTTTCATGTCACGTTCATGTCACGTTCATGTCACGATCGCGACGTTACACAGCAGCGCCATGTCGACGCGCTTTGTCCCCCCTGTCTTGGAGTGGTGGGGTTCCGCCGCTCCTCAAAGTCATACGTCTCTCTTGCTTTCTTGAAGTCTTTTACAGCCGGATTCACAAGGTCTATCCCCACACTAACCTGCATTTCGGCCAGCTCTTTGACATCTGATATTGCTTTCAAATCTTCATTAGTCTCTCAGGTGCGCATTCGGCAATCCCGCAGTTCGCTTAGCTTCACGGAATCTCGCTCACCTTTCCCAACATTCCTGCACCTCCCGCATCTTTCCTGGGCCTAACCATCGCCTGCACTCTGAACTGCCAGGTATATCAGTCAGTTCTCCGTCCTATCGTTCAGAATTCGTTCTTTACCACACATCCAGCGGTCTGCCAACGCACCAGTTCACTTATCTACGAATTTCTACACCGGTGCATCTACCCACACCATGACGAGACCTTGCATCGACTTCGACCGCGATCCCCAATTTTCGCCCGTCTACTTCTGGGGACTCTCTACTCTCACACTTTCGATTCACGGGGTTGAGCTCGACCTGCAAGACTATTCTCAGCCTCGTCCTCGCCCTCCTTACCCCCATCCATCAGCGCCTACTTCGTCCTAATAATCCCATCTTCAAAAGTCCTTCGCATTTCCTTGGTCATTATCTAAGCACTTCTTCCCGGCTTCCTTCGAACAAATCAGACGCCCTGCTGCACTTCCAGTCTGTAACACCCAGTTAGCTTTCTATCTCCGCTCATAACCCTTCAGTGCTACATAACACCGCGCCGCAACACCTTCTCGTTCTCAGACTTCCTCCCGCACTGCTGCCTCTCCGCTCTAGTACCATGAACAGTCTCTACGTCAGGAGGGCTTTTGAGGACTGGCCCTTGTTGAGTTTGACCTGTACATGGTCTTGAGTAAGATGTATCTTCCGGGCGTCGCGGAAGTGAGGAGTTGGGAGGGAATGCAAGTTCACAGCAAGCCAGATAAAGAGGTAGTAATGCGTTGGTCAAGATAGGCCGCCAAATGGCTGCGGTGCGTGGCAAGGTGCTGCATGAAGCTGTTGGTGTTTGGGGAGTGTACTGGATACCGGGAAGTGATAGGGTTTTGGGTGAAACTGGTGCAAGTGGGTAATTGATGCTGACTATTTATGAGCAAAGGGGTGGATTGCCTCTGTGTGATTATAATGACGTGTTTCCCTTATGTGGATATAGACGCCGCTTGCAATGGGTCTTCTCTGCACAACCATGTTTCCGGTTTCCGTGTATCTTTTCCGGCCTTGGTTCAGAAACTTCGACATTACCATGGCTGCAAATCAGATCTGGGATTGTGTTGACCTCTCTCGTCTTTGTTATTTAGCCCACGAAATCTATGCTCCACACAAGATGATGTGAATCCCACAGCGGAGGCTCAAAGACCGCTCAACGATCCTAGGTGTACCTGATGCTATGTTGGTAGACTCCCCATCTTGTCTATATGATGATAGCCGTGAGATATCGTTGTTCAGACATGTATAACGCTTATGAGTCCATCACCGCAATTAATATCTCGCATTACATTCCATCTGCGTCAACACTGCTCGTTATGCATTCATCAAATGCACAACGGCTCTAGCGAGTCGACTCTCTGGTCTGGTCGCTCGCTATCGAGACATCCATCGCTTGTAGGTATCGAATACGAACAATGAAGAACGTGAAGGCACCGACAATTTTCTAGACAAGTATCGAATGGCCATATATTAGGTTTTTATATTCGGCCTGGCACTCTTTGTAACTTCCTGTCTTAGTACATAGTGTATGACCTCTGTTCCCAACCCAATATTCAAGCTGGGCAGTACAGAAGGTCTTGCGCATGGCCTTCACACGTCGGAAGAGACCACATCTGGAATGCAACCACAGTTCATGTGCAGGGCCCTTGGTTACAATGAAGAAGCAAAAGTGAAGTGTATTTCAAAATGTCAACGATATTGCGGATGTCGAGCTCTTGTTTGTCAGCAGGTTCCAAGCAGCCTGAATCCCCGAGACTCTGCGAAATGGTGAACCACCAATTGCGGCATGATTCTGTGCAGAGATCAGATCGCCAATCGTGCTGAGACCCTTTGTCTCGACCATTAAGAAAGTCAATTGAATAGCCGTAGGAGCGACGTGTAGAATACTTGATATTAACGCGGATGTCTGATGGTCGAGCACGCGCCCTTAATGGAATTTAGAAGACGCGTCATAAATAAGACCATCCATTTTGTTTGACTTCGGCGTCAAGATGTATTGTATTTACGGCCTCTACGCAGTTGGTTGGGATTATAATGGTGATGATGGAAAGGGCTTGGCAAATTCAGCGGCAGCGGCGTTTGAAAAGAAATCGGAGACGGCGGATTATATCGTTAAGAAGCGGGGATTAAATACTCTGCTAGCGATTCTGACGATCAGTTTCTTATGTGTTTATGTCCTGGGCTTGAGACGAGGTTCTAGCCTGAAGTTAGCAAAGCACGTTAAACTTACTTTGGTTAAACATTTGGTTTCTGAGTCGCTCCTGGTGGTGATCTTGAAAATTCCTAATGAGATGGTGCAGACCAACTTGCTAGCCACCCTTAAGAAAGCATTGGCGTGTGTCTTTACGACTGTTTCCGAAACGCTCATGTCTTCCACGAGACCTATATAGCTCTCCCAGGATGCTATATCTACTATCCGTTGTACATAGGCAACGACTTGGGAAAGAAGGCCGGCGAGCTCGTCGACGAATACTCCCGCTTGGTACATGTTGTGGATATACTATGTTTGCGGTGACGGTCGTTCGTCTGGGTTAGACGTGTGCGACATAGACGTGTGTCAAGGTATCAACGTGCTACATTATCCGCGAATGGTTGAGGTTGCGCTTTGAGGCTTCGGGGATGCTGCCATCATGTCCAAATCGCAAGCAGCTGGGAATGCCTCATGCCAGTCCTGGATCAATCAGTTAAGTTCGCTAAGCCGTTTTGAAGAAAAAGTCGTCTACTTTGGGGGGATTTTGTGGCCATACGCGTAAACTCCAACAAGCTTCTACCTCACATCAGCTCTTATACTCACTCTGTGCCCCATATATCGAGCCATAAAAGGTTTGATTCTCGATGCTCTCGCTCGTACCACGAAACACGAAGGTGAATTATCATCCAAAGCTGTTCTGACCGTTTCAAAGACCTATGCCGTCGAGGTGAATGTACCTATCAGACTCATCACGAACAAGACATACCGGGGAGTATAGTCCACACATTGAGACTGTGGCTTGAGTAGTCGATAGTTGCGGTCGTAAACCTGCCGATATTCGGAAGAAGAAAGCAGAGTACCCCAATCTGACTCCGTCCATTCTGTATGTTCTCGACCGGGCTAACACCCAAAGTCAGAGCAGCGACGAGAGGCGATATATCGAGTCGTTAGAAGGGACTGCCACTAGCGTGTCCATAGTTACTCTATCATAATATTGATATCGGTCAGAAATCCAAAACATCTGAATCAGAGGTCGTAAAAGTACGAATTTCAATGTTGTCGGGAGGCACTCAGACCATGATGTGACAACCTTAAGTCCTTTGATAGTGCCGTTTAGTTGACTTCTATGCCTCAAGATCATTTTATTTGCTGCTTTGGACGTCATGCACACGACTACGCATGAAAACAGCCAAGGAAAGCGCATAACATTTCTACAATGTAGTACACAAGAAGAAGATCGGAAATCAGTTATTTCGCATGCTAGGGTTCCCCGTGCTGTCATCTCGCATGTGGGAAAAGGAAAGGGAAGGGGTATTGAAAAATCAAAGTCGCTGATCATGACGCCATGGCCTGTTCTCCACCGCTAAATATCTGCAATTGTCATGCTCTTCAGTCGAGCTGCTGTTGGTTTGTTGATCCGATTTTCGGACGCTTCGAGCTTTGCGGTGACGACTCTTCGGACAATGCTCTCGAATTGCTGCCACGTCCCTGGTTTGACGTCTGCTGAGAAGCCTTACGCGCAGCTGCTGGAATGGCACGCTTCAGCTTCTTCGCCTCGTTGACCTCATATTGTGGGATAGCCGCCTTCAGATTGTGTAGGCGTTGACCGAGGGCCCAGTTGAGGATGTTACGTAGCTGACTTCGGAAGCCTTCCATAGCCTTGTTGTTCACATCTTTGGCGGAACGCAGGAACTGTTGATCGACCAACGTCATGTGATGCTCTACAATCTGTTCCTCCTTGTTGAAGTTGCGCCAGTGAACCCAAAGCATGGCCGAGTGCATGTCGCATGTTACAGACCAATGGCAGGTATCCACGGCAGAAGGTTCATGAGCGGCCCTGGTGTAGAAATCATGCAGGTAGTTTACTATAGCGGTGCCATCGCGAGCAGACTGATTCTGGGCATGAGACATGGTTCCGCCAGTGCCTGTCGCACTCTTCCATTGGCAGGTCAAAAAAGGAAAGTGAATCATCGACACCAGAGCGTCTGGCGTTATCTTGGGACGTGTAAGTCTATGGGGACCGGAACACAAATGAGCTGCAGATCTCACTTACCACTAATTCTTCTTTCCGGGTTAACGGTGCGACTGCACGGTCCTTGGAGTCTTTCGAAGATATATAGCCGATAGCCGTGTCCGCAATAGGCTGCGTTAAGACTTTGCCGTGCTGTTTCTCCACAAGAGCTGAAGGCGCCGTGGGAAGGTGTGCGGTTCGCAAGTAGGCTTCGGCAACGCGGCAAATGTGGTCTTCGCCACCATGGACCTCATCTCGGAAGAGGAGGTCATCTGCCAGGATGTCGATGCCGCTTCGCTCATTGGCATTTCGGGCGGATGGTTGATTGCGATACAAGTTCGTGGCGGCAGGTGACCAGACCTTTCGAGGAGCTTCGATCTCCTTCTGAATATACTCTCGGAGGTCCACCGGTAGTGTAGCCATGGAATTGACGTAGATGTTGAAAGCCTCGAGCTTATCCGTTTCATCGACGGGGTTACCCATGTCGCTTCCGGAGGCAAGAGATGCAGTCAATACAGAGGGAGTGCGTACAGATGTGGAGGCGGTAGACCGAGAGTCCTGTCCAGACTGCAGGTCCCAGAGCTCGAGGTTGTCGTGCGAAAGAGGAGATACCAAGGACTGTGAGGATGATTGCGCGGCTGACGGGGTGTGGTCCTTGAGCGGACGGGGAGACTCCGGGTCAGATGCTTCCGAAAGAGAGCGTTTATGCGGCATGGTGGGCAGGTAGACGCTGGGTGAGAGATAGCGGTGAGATGAGGTAACTTCGAGGTCGACGTGACGCTGAGTGCAAACGCGGGCGCAGGTCACGCTAGCGCGACTTTTGTGAACATTTATCGATAAGTCTATCTGTGATACACGCTGATTGGCCGAAGCGTCCGCAACCACAGAATCAAGAGCGAAGTTGAAAGTAGGCGAGACAAGCAACTGCGTGGTGCAGCAAGGAGATACGAACTTTTCTGTTGGTTGGGCATATATAATATACTTCAACAATCTCGACAGCCCCCAGAAGTCAAAGAAGGGATGTACGTCGCGCTCTCATGTGACTTGGCGTTTCGTTATGATAGGCTTACGGTATCGGAGCTCGCAGCAGTAGATGACGTCGAGCAACCAAATCGGGTTGTAGATTTAAAGACAGACTTGCTAAAGTCTTAGCGCAGGGTTGGATACTGATATGAGCAGCTAAAGAGCTAGATAGTGTCGATTCGCGCAGTAGGTCAACTTCCGCTGTTTACACTCAATACATCCAAAGCCGTATCGACTAAACTTTGCTCAGCAACCAAATCCAGCTGTACCCAGCTTATCTAGCATCATTCTCTCTTCTCAGATCAACATTGCTGCAGCAAAAAAATTGCCATGAAGCTGTCTATCCTCCCCTTTAATCAACATTTCGAATCGAAGAGATCCTTTTACACCGACTCATGGGCGCTTTCCATGATCTGATAAGAAATCCTTACCTTCTGCCTCGGGCGTAGGATATAATAAGCTATCTTCAAGTGGACTCACACGGTGAAAGTGTAAAACGTGATTACTCGAGCCTCCTCACTGCCACCAATTCCTCGATGAGTGTCATTACATATCGTTGATTACGCGCACAACTGCATCTTTCGATCTTCCTCTGTACAAATATTGATCTACGCATGTTACTTCGAACGCGTCTGTGGAATTGGTTTAGCCCCCGTTGCATGCTCACCATGATTGCGACTGCCCGCCGCGATGACACTCGAGGGTACCTCGATACGCAATAATCAATGACTATGGCAGGCCGGAGCAAGGCATTTGCTATCGTGACAGCCGGATACATTTGTGGAAAATAGCGTCGAGACCGACAACCTGTGTCGGTTAGGAAAGCAAGGGAGTGGGTCACGATATTGCTCGGGGGTCGGGGCCGGGCCGGGAATGGAGATACGAGAACAAGTTGTGCGCGCTATCCAGAGGAGAGCTTGAATAAAGAACAATGAAGTCGTTGCTGATTTGGTCTTCTCTAGTCGTCGTCGTGGAGTAAGAATACTGAGCACCCGATGACTCCAGAAGTTCTTATCATGCGTACCGCACAGCCGACAACTACTTCAACGACCTGCGTACGCTCATGCCCGTCCAAGACCTTACGTATCTCATATCTGTGATGACGCTCGGCTAGACAGAAGAAAGGGAAGATAGGGGAAGGACTCGTGAGGAGCGACATCGGAATAAAAAAGACATTAAAGTCAAGTAGACTAGAAAGCAGTTGGCAATGAGGACAGGTATACAGGGTTTAATAATTGGAGAAAAGTAAGTAATTTACGGTCGGGAGTAGAGTTTTCCAACAAGCCTGTTCCACGTCAGGTCACGTTCTTTGTCCAGCAACTCTTGCACGTCGGCATTGTGAACCGAGTGAATCAGTCACAATCAGTCAACCAATTCCACATTATGGTTGACACTCCTCGAACATATCTTTTACTCCAACAAGCATTCCTTCGTTCAATGTACTTCGATACTCTCTAGTTGGGAAAATATTCTTCCAGCATTGCCGGTCGCATACACGCGTGTTCCAACTATACAGAGTAGATATATGTGGGACATAGAGAGATATAGCCAGGTTACAATACCAACGTGTCGCAATCTCAGCAAAATCTGATATGCAGCACAGGATACCGAGCTTCTTTTATGCAGTATGCCTCTCTTGTCTATCTCTTTAGTACCCGTCCCTGGAATACTCACTACTGTCTCAAGGTCCTCAGTGTCTTTCACGTATTGTCCTCAAGGTTAGGCATCTTGGGACTTCTATGAAAGACTCTACCACGACTCGAGCACGGCTCCAATTTCTACTCCAACTATCACACCACTCTTGATATCGTCGTCAGCTGACTCACCCAGAAGCTTTATCACCTCGTCTATGTAAGCCCCGGTTTAAGCTCTCAAACTCTCACAGCGCCGACGATAATACAATTTGCAGACATACGTTCTTATATGTTCATAATGGCGCCTCATGACATGACTACTGCCATTGAGAACAAACATTCCACCACAATTCATGCCCTTCAGATGGCGCCCGAGATGGCTCACTACACCCTCCCTGCCAGATCTCGGTGTACAACGGTAGCAATGCCATTCCAATGACCAAGGTTTCCACTTTCGTATGAAACAGTTATTCTGCCCTCTCCTCGACCCCATCATCTATAGTAGCACATTCAAGTCTTCGTCCTCTTGCTAAATTTGCAACACAGGGTTCCCTGCCAGAACCAGAACCCAGCAACCCATATAGGCACAACAAATCTCGCCTATCCTCATCCGGATCGAAGCCGTGAAACCCATCAGCATCGACGTTGTCCCTGGATGACGTAGTGCTGGGAATCCAGGAAAACTCATTCCAGGAAGGAGATGGATTATGGAATCGGGGACGCTTCACGATGCTCCACTCTTAGTGGGTAAAAGAGGAGGTCCATGGGTATTTCGAGGCCCGAGGTTCCGAGCACGCAGTCAGCGGTTCGAGAGATTTCTGGGAAGGACTGGAGGGACAAGAAAACAGCGGGTAAGGGGGTTATGCATACTCTGCGCCTTAATGGTGGTTTTGCAGGAGAAACTTGAGTACCACAGATCATCACCGGTGATATCCTTTCAGGTTGTCCGTCGACTGATCTCAGTCTCATCCTTTAGCTCTTTGTATTTATCTTTCACTGAATCATCATAGTTTACAAAACATAGCTTGTCTCGAAGTGCCTTCTGCAAAGTCTCGATTGAAGCTCCAAGCCGCTGAAGCACCTTAATTCCTTTCGAGGATGCTCCCAGAATTCGAAATTCGCTTGCGAGACTTTTCTTTGCTGGTTCTGGAACCTAAACCAAATGGCCATTGCGAGCGATAGACTGTCTGTCAGCAATAAGAACTGGGAGCGGAAGCTCGCAGCGGTGGCAATTGTCATTCTGAAACGCTCCGGTATTCTCGACGAGGCGGAAAAATGATCAACGAAGATGCCGGAGGTAGCGGCTCAGGATTGGTGTAAGAAACACTGAGTCTTCAACCACCTCAACTACGATACCTCAGAATTGAACATGGGGACGCTCATCCACATCATCCTGGCGCACGCCTCTCGTCGACAATGAATGCATACCAACCGCCCCGACTAGGTCCCCCGAGCTCGGCTCACCAGACACTACCTTTATGCTTTCCCAGACGTACTTCACAAGCTCGAGGAAAGACAACACGGCGAGCTTATCGCCCACGACGCAGCCTAAGACCAGCACCGGCTTCAACGAAGGGGCGGAGGGCGGTCTCAACAAACTCCACGGTGACGGCTGACGGCACTGTCCCGCGGCCGGCACACATATGTCGTGCGTCTTTGCGAAAGCCGATGGTCAGATCCCTGCGTATCGTGAGATCGAGCGGGGCTGGACGTCTTCTTCCGAGCTGAGGGCGTATCATCACAGCCTGCTCTACGCCCACTCAGCTTCTGTAGAGGCACCTCGCCTTGACTTCCACTCGCGAAACCAACACGACCTTGCAACAAAGGACATCTTAATGGAGGTCGCAGCGAATGTACTGTGCGAGAAAAGAAACCAGCTGCAGTTCCAACATTCACCAGCGTTCGATGTGCCGAGCATTTTCTTGGAGTGAGAATAAGGTATATCTCTTCGAACTTGCATGCCCGTTCACTCGCCAAGCTCTTCTATCTGCGCATTGAGCGTTACCACAAATCCTCTATCTCATTTCATCCCTCAATCTGCCTACGAACATACCACTCCGCATTCCTGTTCACTGTGCAGTTCGGAGCTACAGCAAATTCATCGACAACGCTATTCTCTGGGGTGTAAGCTTGTTCATGATGCTTGGCGCGTGAAAAGCTGATTGACTGTTTGTACTGGCGTCGGCGTTCGTTTTGGAAGGCACGGAAGGGGTTTGTTGTTATATGTAGTGGGATAGAAGGAGGTAATAGTAGAGGAGATGCCGGGAGTATCGGCGATGACAAGCAAGATGGGCGAAGTGGAGATGGTGAACACGAGGGAAGTGGCTACATCGGACAGACATGACGTGCCAGTGTCGGCGTGGGAGACATTGGCGACGAATAATAACCATACCACGACTGTGGCCTCGCGAATGAGACGTAGATGACGGCGGACTAGTCATGCATACGAGCATGTTCCTGGCCAGCTTTGCCAATTGCTTGATTTCCATCTCTTGCCATTTGATCGTGTTGGTCAAATACCCTGCAACCGGATATTTAGCATGCGCGCTGTCTCATCTCCCTGGGTGTGTGGGCTGTCTACGGCGATTTCAACGAGATTGAGCTTCTTACAGAGAGTCTTGATGTTGTTGCGTATCGACTGCTTGTCGAGCGAGGCGGCAGTGTCGGATTGCATAGCTTCGAGGAAGTCGGTGGTGAGGCCGACGGCGATGGACGTCTTGAGGTCGGAGGAGATAGCGACTCGTAGATGCTTTGCAATACTCTCCTCCAGATCAGCAACGGTGCCCACTCCCGCCTTTCATATCCCACGAACCGTATGCACCGCCTTATGCGCCAGCACCCCAGCTCACATACGTTTGACATGAACGCCGCCGCATCCAGATAACAACATGCACAGAATGACGTTGCGGCATTGCATAACCCACCTCTGCTACCTTTCCCGCGCACGTGCAACAACTCAACCCCCCACCAACCGTAGCGAATTTTGTATCCTGGCCGCCGCACGATTGATGAGCAATGCACCAAGAGTATCGGCGCGCACATGCGCCAGCAGAGCGAAAAGATCTCTTGCTGTTGCCAGGGTCGACGCGAGGCATGCGGCGCGGTGCGGTTTGTGGCTATATCAGAGCTGTGTTGCCGTGGCTGTCGTGGCTGACGTGCGGAATTGCGAGATCAGAACCTCCCTGTTGCTTTCGTCACTGTTCGTGTTGGAGTGAATGACGAGCGGCGCCTTTTTGCAGCGGACGGGCTGCTCGGCATCGTAGTCTGTGTCTTGCTCCTGGCGCGCGTAGAATCTGTTTGATACGTTGTACGCGCCGCTTGGATATGACTCTCTTCTGGCAGCGGGTGCTGGATTTGGAGATTCCCTAGCACTGCGAGTGGCTCGTTATCGTTTCGAGGGTCGTTGTGGGTTTGCGGGGTGCCATATCGCCGTGTAGGCTGTTGTGGATCAGAAAGATGAGCTGCGCAGTTATGCGTATTCGTCTTCTTTGCTGGCTTGATCGTAAACATTCAGAAGCGTCCTGACCAATTCGCGGAGGGGGGATTCATTGTGTGTAGTGATGGCAGGCGCGAGACATGTGCACATCAGCGTCATCGTGGAAGCACTGCGCCAAAGACGAAAGAATACGCAACTCGCTATACACAGTCAGTTTCATTCATCGCGTTAGTCGTTCACACGAGGTCACGAGTAGATGGACTTACAGGCTACACGATGCCAGTACATGTTCATCACCATACCAAACAGCCTCAGAGAACTCGCCACGACCTCTCATTTCTGTTCGGGTAATGATGGGTTTGCGAAGTCATGCACTTCACTACCTCTTTTATGTCGTAGAAAGGGTATAATCTCATAGGCAAACTGTGCCAATGAAAAACTCCGAGATCCAGGCTACGACGTGCTCGGGGCCATGTCCATCGCCGTTGTCAGAAGCTATGCCATGCCCGGACTCGTTGAACCCCGCAGATGACGTAGTTTGATTGGCTTATCATGAATTCGAAATGCGCAGGTTCTGTGCTGAAACTCACTTCCACTTCGTTATCAATGTTATGTACGCTCGTCTCCGTAACGGTATGTCCTACACTCCCGACTGGCAATTTCAACGGCCTCCTGATCAATCGTATGCAAGAAGTTTATTGATGGTAGTCAGCTGTTCACCACGGCTGCGATTTTAGAGACTATCCTCATGAAATACCCTTCTTGGGGTATTTCCTTCACATGCGCACACATAGCTCGCCCTTTCTTCCCGCTTGCCGAACCCGACCGGACATTGAAATTCGCATTGACATTGGTGTCAGTCGAAGGCAAGACCACATCCATAAACCCGGTCGCTCAAGTGTTCAAGGAGCGAGACTTTGTACCGACGAGTTTGAGAGCGGGTGCTGCATAACATGCCCGTATTCTGTATGAATGGGTTGCTTGTATGAGATGAGCTCAAGCAAGCTGATCTATCGAGTATAAAGGAAGGCTTCATCTCTTTCGCGCCAAAGTCCGTCTTTTTCCTTGTTGAGAAGTTCAAGCAGTAAGAAAGATGCCATATCAGCTCGTCAAGAAACAAATGGAAGAAGTGTAGGAAAATCAAACGTAGTAATCATACAGACTATATAATACTCTGCTCAGACCCAGTGCAAAGATGCACAGCTAGGCTGAGTTTTAGTCATGACAAAACACATCGGCAACAAGGCGGTCCCATGTCCTGGTGGAACTACAAATTGCCATCCAGATCCTCATCATTCACGATCTCACCATCCAGCTCCATACCACCTCCAACGACGTCCTCGACGTCAGTCTCATCTCCATCCTCAAGGTTCATATCCTCAACATCACTATCCTCACCTTGGGCAACCTCTCCATCAGTGTCCACACTCTCAGTAGCGTCTCCATCAGAATCCTCCCCCTCCACCCGAGCGATCAGACACTCCCTGAAGCTATCCATCGTGAACTCCGACTCGTCCACATCCTGCCCGGTCGTTGCCAGATCGTCCCAGGCGCGGTTGTACTCCCCATGCAAACCAACCGCCTCTTGCCATCTTCCAAGAAACGGCGCAAGTACCGGGGCAATGTCAGGAACGGTGTCCGGTCTCGAATAGCCAGGTTGGTTCTGGAAATGCTTTCCCCAGGATAGTTGGATGGTGTTGATGAAGGTGATGTCTGCTACGATGCAGTCCAACTTCTTGGCAAGGTCGCGATCGTTGCTGTCGTAGTCTTGGAACAGGGTCCTGATCCGAGCCATGACATGGGCGAGATCGCGTTTCGCTTCGTCGAACTTTTCGTTGCGGGTGCTGAGCTGTGAATGCTGGAGCTTGAGGCCTCTGTACACCTCCTTGCGCGCCATGTTGAGGTTCTTGCGGGCGGCTGTGAGGTTGCGTATGCGACGGTAGTCGAGGGCTTGGAGACGAGACATGTTTGCGGTGTTGAAGTTGAGGCTGCGAGCACGGTGTTGGACGTTGTGTATGGATGGGTGGTGTGGCTTGTACTTACGGTGGAATGGCTTGTAGTTACAGTGGAATGGTTTGACCCGTCTTTCAACTGGCACGATCGGACTTTGAACATGACAATGTGTTAGCCATATTCATCTGCTTCAGGCGGGGAGAGAGCAGTACTTACTGCAGAGTGAAGGCGTCCACGTCCGAGGAATATCGCTGGTAACTGAAGAACTGGGAGCAGCTGCCAGGTGCAAGTCTATCATATACATCGTCCAGAGGGGTGTGTTGATGCCAGTACCCGTCAATGCCTCAGACATGACAGCGCGCTGGTTCAGACCGCAAACATAACATCTCTTTCAAAGCTGCAGGGGTGGCGATCAGAGTGTAGGAGGAGAAGACATTGTCTGTTCTCCAACAACGACTGACTTCAATGGCTGAAGTTGTGCCAGCCCGGTCTGAGATCTATGCGGCGCGAGTGTAGGCAAAGTCAGGAACGCCATTGAGCGACTTCAACCGTGCGTCATAAGGCGGAGTGATGGTGCAAGACATGGTTCGAGCGGCGGGAAGCGTACAGCGGTGTTGAGGTTGTCAGTAGGCGGCATCGAGGTGGCGTTGTAACAACAGCCTACGCGTAGGCACGTGATAATGCTAAGCGAGTAGAGAGACTCCATGGTGAGGACCCCACGGCCACCAGCGAACATGACAAAAATTCCAATGATTAGACAATGATGGCATTCTCTGCAAGCCATCAGCGTCTTCCTGTCTGACGTCAAAGCGGGCACAACAAACGATCACCCCTTGCATGCACACGCGAGAGGGGCCCCTTGCGTTGAGATGCGGCAGATGCCGAGAATTTGCTGCATCCGAATCCACCATGATTTCATTGGTCGCCCAAAAAACAGCTTGTCACATGCTAGCCGACTGCTCGTTTCCCTAATGCATTAGGTCTCGCCGTGACATGACATCCCGTCGGCCCGAGCCAGTAGCGTCAATGCAGCAAATCGGCAGGGAAGTCTGGATTGACCGGCCGGTCGGCTGCGTTCTCCTGATACTTCCGATCACAATGAAAGAAAACAGGCTATTGATGTGGGTCGTCCGTGTGGAGTGGGTCTCTGGACAAACATGAGCGGAATTTCACAGCGCTCAACTCCGCCACTGCCTGTGCTCAAGCATGCAAGCTTTCTGAAAGGGTTGCATTGCTGGTTTCAGACCGATAAGATGCATCACCTGCCTGTCCAGCCTTGTTGTGCATCGTTCCGACAGGTGCGGTGAGGAGTAAGACAGGGCTTGTGGGGTGGCATGACGGGGAGCGTCTCGGGGCGTGATTTCTGGTTCAAGGTGCGTATGGTTGTTTGCATGTTGGTGAAATGAAGGGGGCTGTATACGAGTGTTGTGCGACGAGGAGGTTCTGAGTTTTTCGCGGCGTTGGCGCTCCGGATCCCGCGGCAATTTCCGCTGCCGGGATCTGATTGCTTCCATTCGATTCTCCGTTCAGTCTCCGAACCTTCACCGCCCCCACCAATAACTCACGACAACTGCTCCGCAGCGATATTTTTTGTACAGCGTCATAGAATATCAAACTAATTTACCACTTTTGTGAGAGCCTGTTATGATGGTGTTTTACGGCTGCAGGCCTAAAAGTCGCGATGAAAGAGCAATTCATGCGGAAAGAGATGTGGACCCGCATACTCCACATGCTAGCGGGTAGGAACGGCGACGCTAAGCTGGTTGCGATAAGCATGTCCTGATTTCGGAAACATGCCTTGTACGATTTGTGGAGATGCGGGGACAGGGGTGCGTGCATCTTGTTGCAGCGTCTTGTCTACCCGAGTCTAAATTGGGAAACTCAGGCAGGAAAACTCAGGCAGGGAAACTCACGCAGGGAACTATGCGTAGTGAGGAAGAGTCTCTGTCTTCCTGTTTCGTCATTCTTCTCTGCACCACAATCGCTGTCTCTAGCCTTGGCCCAAGACTATCTTTTTGCAGCTGCTGTGATGACGACGTTCAAGCCACATGTATGGTCAGGGCTGTGGCTTGTGGGCTCATTCACTCCCTCCCCAAAGTTCCGTTTGTGGCGATACACAGGACTATCCCAATGCTGTGTTTCCTTGCATCGTTGTCCGAGTCCAACAACCAGCCTCTCTCATTCTTCGCAGTCACTTATTGATCTTTTATTATATCTGTTGTAATCTTCTCTCACACAAGCAATGGCCTGTTCTGCAAACATCTCTCTTTGGTGCGCATGCTCCCCATGGCCAACCTCTTTCCTTGCTTCCAGGGCAATCATCTAAAGTCGCCCAACAAATAACCTTCTGCTCGACAGATACTCGCCCAAAGCTCATCTTGACGTGTTTTTCATCAAATTTCGAACACCCAAACCTTCACCACCGAATTTCCACCCGCGGCAAGAAAGTTCGTTTGCATCCACAACATGCATCCCTCCTTCACCTCGACCGTTTGCTCAAGGACGCGGCCCACCTCCACGTACCGCCACTGATCTGAGCACTTCCTACTCGAGATTCGAGTTGTCGCATGCAACGGATCGAACCAAGGCGCAACTTGCTCAAGCCATGGCCTTTGCGACGTTGTCATGGCCGTTCACCAGAAAGCATCATGTCCATCCACGTCGGCCTCTTGCGCAAGGATTTTGCCCAAGGAGATAGCCACCTTCACTCTCGCACACTGCGCAACGCGCTTGACCCGGCCCTGCGATTGACTCAACTTGGTTATGACGTCCTTGGCGTCGCGCAACAGGCAAGATTTGACCAGTTTCGACGCTCTCCTTCACTTCACCGCGGTTTTGCTGATACACTGATCCACCGAGGCGAACAGGCGCTGACTTCTCCTCCGCTTCCCCGCACACACACGCTCTGGTTGCGCACCATCTCGCGAACTTTGACGCGCATCATCCCTGTTCTACGACTCTTGAGCACCCATGCCTGAGCCTCTTCCCTCGTCAAGCTTTCGGCGACGGAGCATGATGAAGCGATTTGATGGCAGATACACGCGCACGGCGGGCGACATGACAGATTTGCCAACACTGGACAGCATCTCCAGACAGGACATCAACCCCACAGCTCCCGACAGCCATTGCGCCGTTCACCACGCTGAGGAACCGCGACACTCGGACGAGTTGGCGACACTGCCCACGGCAAGCAGTCGACGTCCTTCATCTCCGAGTACGGTGAGTCAATGGGCCCAGATCGCGATGAGAAGGTCCACCGCTGACCATTTCCCAGACCGTGAGCCTGGGGTTCCGTACCGACGAATACCTCGACGACGACGAGACTACCAGAGTTGCCATGGGTATGCCGCCGCTGAGGAGGGTGACTGGCCAACAAGTTCGGGCTCTAGAGACAACCGCCAGCGCGCGCGCGTCCATCAAGTCGTCGAGCACAGGAGATACGCTGGATCTGAGCGATCATCGCAGCTCGATTGGAAGTGCCGTCGAGCAGCGCCAGGTGAGTAGTTGCGAAGCCGAATGAATGCCTTGACGTCGACGGCCATGAGCTTACACAACCGCAGAACACGCAACGACCATACTCCGCCCCAGAAATCGCATCCCCATCCATGCTCGACGCCGGCGCACCGCAGTCAACCTACGACATCCCTCCGACCCCCGCGCGACGCAACAACGACCAAAAGACCGTGATATGTCCCGTCTGCATCCACCACTTCCACCAATCCCCTGCGACAATCCTTATCGACGACGACTGCTGCCTGATCTGCGAGGAGCCCGTCCCGCTCCTTTCCCGGCGATCCGTCTCGTGTGATGAAAACCATCTTGTCTGTCGATCCTGTGTAGCCACCACCGCCTCCAAGCTCGCGTCCACGCCGCACCTCCTCCCCGTTCGCTCACACGACTGGCACCCCCCAACCTGCCGTGGCGCATACCGGTGTTTTCGGTGCGGCGAAGCATTTGCGCAGAATGCAGTCGTATACGTCACAGCTGAATGTCGAGCTGTATGCACTCCCTCTTCATTACGAGGCTCTTGACTAACATTGCTTAGACGTTTGGCCAATGCTGTGTCGGCTCCCAGACCGCGATACGCTGCCCCTTCCACTTTTCGCTGGGCGAACAGATGCTTCATGATATGGGCAAGGCGTCTACCGCGCTTCCTCGCGTCACAAATGTCTGCGGTGAGTTCCTGTCCTGAGTCGTTGTTGCCGGCCCGCTGAGAACTGACATGGATAGTCAACGTGACATGCGCCCCGCATTTGACTGGGGTTGAGAATCAAGATGCGACGCCGCTTGAGGATCCTCATGCTGATGCCATGCGCGAAGTGCCAAGGAAGGAGAGGGGGCGGCTACGGGAGGTGTTGAGGAGGGGGCTTGGTCGGTGTAAGGCGGTTTTGGGGAGGAAAAGCAGCGGTGACAGTGACGGTGCCGCTGCCGCTGCCGCTCCCGCCGCTCCTGAGGATGGGCGGTCGGAATGGGTATGAGCGTTTGGTTTGCGATGCTGGGCGGATACCGTGGCTTCTGGGTATGTAGACCTGGCGCTAGTCCACGGCATGGGATGCCGTGTACGACTTTGGAGATAGGTTAGTCGGTCTGTGACTTTGGCGATGATGATGTCCGTCTGATCCTGCGCTTAGCTTCAGTAGGCACTTACATGTATAGCAATGATACCCCATAATTCCTGCGTCTATGTCTTCTAACCCGCCATTTTCGGTTCTCGTACCAATTCGATCCGTTCTCGAAGGTCTGCTCGAGGCGAATCTGACGAAAGAGCTTACCAGTTCGAGATGTATCGGTCTTGTGATACGATGTGGAATTGGTGGTTGCATTAATGACTCTCCATGAAGCCTCAGGCCCGAAGGTCTTGCAGGTCTTGAAGAGCTTCAGCACGCAAGCCTTCCCAATCTGCCATTCCGAAAGACCTTGCAGCTCTACGGGCAATAACCCGGTTCGGCGTATATCTTTTACAATGTGTAGTCTTCAGGAGGAAAGAGTCGTTCGTCTAGAGGCCTGTCAGGAACGCGGTGCTGCAGCTGTCTTCAAACATGTACTCCAGAGTGTCCATATTCAAGCTCTTAGCGATATCTCGACCGCGAGAACGGCGTTGGACTGGGGATAGGTGGCTGACATGAGTTCATTCAAATCGATCTTGTTGCCGAAAGACCGGCTGTGTAGCTCAACTGACGTTCCCTCAGCCACGTCGATGGGTTCGGTGAACGTCGAGCGGCTGAAAGTGGTGGACCTTTTGCCTGAATGAGAGCTCGAGGATATTTGTACAAGACTCCGGAGACGTAAGTTGCGTCACCGGAGCGTCCATCGCGAGAGCGTCCGAGCAACCACTGGCGCCGCAGATGCAGTTGTGGACATGATAGGTCTTCCACACCCACCTATCTTATCTGTTGTAACACGCTACGTAGAGTCAGATATTTTTTCCACGACTGCCCGTGTCGCCATCGCGCCGAGAACGAGAACGAGAACGAAAATACCGACGACATGACTGTGATCCTGGACATGGGCAGCTCGACTAGGCTGAAATTGCAAATGGACTGATACGGCGCACCCCAACTTCATTAACAGTAGATGAGAACGGGACTATGCAGCCTTGCTAGTTCCAGGTCTTGAACAGGTTTATCTTGAGTTGGCGAAGTTTGTTGTGAACTTGGCGCTGACATCGTCCGTCAAGATAGTGAGGGCATGGACACCGCTCAAGTCTGAGTCTGATGCTGGATACGAACTTGCCTCCTTGATGAAACATGTATTCGATGCTACGATAGGAATCATTAGCGTATTCGGGAGTCGTGTGAAGGCGGGCTCTGCGATACGATCATTCGTTGCAACCGTGTAGCAGACTGTATTCGTCATCCGGTCTGGGAGTCACCTACAAGCTCCTGTTCCATCGCAATGCTGCTTGGATCGAAGTGTAACCTCTTATTGTCTGCGAGCTTGTGATCTCGTCTTACAATCGACTGATTCGACCAAGATTCATCCAGTGACTGAGCTCTTGCCGATATTGGCAGGTCATGATGCGAAGGTAAACGACGACGTCGACGGAATTGCCAGCCCCATGCATCTTGAACATGGGCAATTCCCTACCTCAATACTTGTTAACGGCGACCTTGAGAGTTTCTCCCATGAACGACCAGATCGCCGAGCTGTATAGCCTCGCCGACGAGCTCTTCTGCGCCTCCGAATCCTCCTCACTAACCGCCCGCGTTCTGCAGATCCGGAATAATGCACCGCGTTGCATGAGCTAGCTACCTTTGACTCGAGTAACCAGGCGCATGCCGAAGACGCTCTAAGATGTGGTCTGGAGAGGAAGTCTCGGTTTGTATTTCTCAAAGGCCCGGTACACAATCGTAAATGAAGTTCTGGAGAACGTCATTGATTAGTCGAAAGACGACGTTACATATCCAAGCAATCTGTTCGGAGCACGAGCATAATCATAATTCACCCCCTGACCACGTTCCAAGGGAAGAAGTTGTATATCCATTGCGGTCTTCGCTGTGCGCGAGTTCAAAATCCCAATGGTTATAACTCCAAAGCACATGCAGGATTGAACAGAGCTTGCATCATTGCTTGCGCGCACTTTAGCTTCATAGTTGACTTCGTGGGCATGCTCGTTACATGTCATTTCCTGACGAATAATCGGGGTGCAATGGTCAAAGCCTGGCTTGCTCGCGACATCGACTATGCCCTGATTGGTGAGCTCCATCATGTATGCCATGCGCTGAAGTGGATTGTCGGTCTTGACGCGAATCTTACTTGCTTACCCGTGTCGTTGAGGAGTTCAATAGGAAGGTGACCGCGATATTTTCTGCCTTATTGAGCGTTGGGGTTTGCATCTCCTCGTTCATCGGCCCGATTCGGGCGGCATGTACAATCAGATCTGCGAGTGGCTTTGTATTCTGACTCCGGTTAACATGTTGAATTGTTGCATGTTGAGCTACCCGTGCGTCGCGTTCAACGCGTTTCATCTGCGGTCCCTTTCATCAGTGTGCCATCATTGAAGCTGTGTTCCAAGGTGTCTATCCCGGATGATTACTTTCGACATCGATGACCAGCCTAAGATCGGTCTGAGTGGATTGCAGCTTCAACCTCAGCGGCTCAGGATTCTGATGAAGTGGTACTGGACTGTGGTCGCTTGCTCGTGTGAATTGTCCAGAAGTATGCCTACTTTCGTAGACCTTGACGGAGCTCGCACTCCCTACCTTCTCATAGTCATGTGGGTCATTTGTTCGTCGAATCCGCTCGTGTGTGCCTGGTTATACGAGCCGTTCTCGCAGTTGTGGAAGCTGTACTGCTAGCCGCTAGTGCCCTTGGTAGAGTCAATGCAACGTTTTCCAGCGGCACTTTGCTCGCGAATCTTGGCCTTGAGGTTAACCGTAAGCTGCAATGCCGCCACAATTCTCAGACTGACTCTATGACCCCGCTGCTTCGGTGGAGCCGTGTTTTTGGTCATGTTGGAAGCGGCAGCGGCCTGCGGACGCTGCGTCCCTGGCTCGTCAACATCGTCTGGTTGCTCCTCCTCCGCGTTCATTTGATCATGAATGCGGTCCTCCTAGGAGGACGTGTGCCTGTGGCGTGCCTGAAAGTGAGGAAATCACGATTAGCAATAGGGTGACGCACTCAGTGGGCATATGCTAGGAACTGCAGTGCTCGGCATATAAGTTCGATGGCGCCCGGAGTTGTGGCTGCCAGAAGCGAATACGATTGGTGTTACGGTAATCAGAGACAAATTGCTAGACGTTGACGGGAATACTTGGTCGTGATCAACATAGAGGGGGACGCCATCATACCTGCCCTCCCAAATACGCTTCCATGATCATGGCATTGTGGCCTCTCCGCCATTATATCCACTCACCTCACGATCATTATGTTATAGTTCAATCTCTCAAATGAAGATGAAACAGTATTTGTGTCTGCAGTGATGTCTAGGTTGGAGTTCATGATATTGTCGGTAATGGGCTTCCAAGTGTGATACATGAACCTGTAGAGGGTCAGTAGCTTTCTGCATTAACTATCATCATGAAACATTACCTGAAAATTCTCGAGACTTTCGTAGATCCGGTGTTACACCCGCAAACTGGGCGTGACCAAGCCTCCAAATTCATGGGACGTCAAGCGGCAAGACGACGCCGCCATGCCCGTCGTCCTGAACTCACAAAATGCTTCTCAGAAGTCAGCCGGTTGCGACAATCTTGTCGTACTACATCCGAATGGAAGCCTAGCTGCTCAAGGTGACCGAGTAGGATTTTGAGGTTTGGTTGTGAAGTACGTTTTGTTCTGAATTCAAAGTACAGATTGTGACAGAACCATGGAGAAATATGTAACACCACATCAGATTAGCATACCATCCCTTTCGAGATGAAGAAGGTAGTGAGAGACAATATCTCAATTAAGCCAACCCCATGGTAGAATGCGTTTGGGACTCAAGTAATGCGGCTAAACTGAACACAAGGGGAGTCATTATTAACAGAGCGAAAAAAGATAAGCTCAACAAGACATACAGATATTGCTGGAGACATGTGTGCACGTTCTCCAATGCGTATATTGCCGAGGGGAGGACCAATGAAGCACATCTGCGCCGCCCTGTGTAGTCCGCGGCAGCAGATTCCTGCGCACTATGGTGGCTTCCGAAGAATGTCATGACGTCGCTGTATTGCCGCAAGAACAGGTCTCATATAGTTATTAACGATTGGGTTTTGTAGTCGACGATTCTCATTTGTGCGGAGCCTATTAACACAGCATCTCTTTTTACTCCAGTACACATGCAATTAGCCTCTGTCAACGGTGTTTGATGGAGGGGCGACATGATATTCTTGTTGAACGGGTGCGTCTTCAACCTCGTGATCATTGATGGGCACAAGAACTCCATCTACATTGCGAAGCTCTGCGACGAGAGTATTGCTACGAGATCCAGGATTTCAACGGAGGCTTTCACCATGCACGAGCCCATGAAAATGGCAAGGTTGGAAGTTTTGTGTAGTGACACTGCTGTGATCGTGGTGGAGAAGTAAGCGTAGTATCCGAGAGCAATGCGTTTAAGTACATGTATCAGGGATCAATGGATACCTTGCAGACAAACATAATGATGTATATCAAAACGTAAACTTATCCAGGACGTTGTTGATATTCTGTGCGCGAATTAATTCCATTGTTGAGAGGAATGTCTTTCGGAGCCCAGCGCCGATGAGCCCAACTAAGAGTGGGATGTGATTTGTCAGCTGTCATGAGCCTGTCATGAGCCTGTCATGAGTTTGTCATGAGCTGTCATGAGCTGTCATGAGCTTGTGTTGTCATGAGCCCGAGCGAGATTAGGCGAGGCTCGTGCATCTCTAGCGTGATTCGCTGTTAGCTCCCGACGCGACGTGTAAACGCGCGCATCAACAACAACACGACACCGACTGTAAACAACTCGAGATGCAATGAGCTCCCACAACAGAAATTCAGACGATGCTCTAGCATCTGCTACCCAGAAGCGAAAGCTGGAACACATCACAAGAGTGGAGAGTAGGAATAACAACATATGCATCGAAAACGGATGTCGCCAGCCTGTCACCACGTGCGACACGAATCTACAAAGAACGTTTCGACGATGCAGTTTTCACCTGGATAAAAATAGGAATTACACTGCAGACAGAAGAAAAAGAAAACACAAAACAGCATCTCAAAAACTATTAGTCTCCCCAGACGAGACCACGCACAATTCTTCTGACGAGACTGTTGGTCACTACAATCCATCCGTTTATAAGCACAGTACGTCAGGATTTGATGAAAGATCTCTCAGACCATACTCTTCGCCGTACATGCCGCCAGGACACCATGCATCAGGTAACCTCGTGCCTTTGTCACAAGCAACGTTACACCGGAGCGTAGCGGCTTCTTCTCAACCTTTATTAGAAAATCCCGGGCGGATGACGGCTTCAATACCCAATTCTGGGTCAAGCTCTCCATCACATTCAATCACAGCATCAAGTCTACTTCCTCGTACGCCAGAAGAGTGCTTGACACCAAGGTCTCTGGGGCCAGCTACCGACAACCCAGCGCTTGTTTTTCCGACTGGATTCCCGCTGGACCTGAAATGCCTGCTAGAAGGGGTGTCAGAGAACGAGGGTTCCGGGACTATGAATTCGCTCAGCGGATTTCGATCTGTGATGAGGGGAGGTTGTGTAGTGAAGACTGTTGACCGGTCTGAAGAACGACGACTTGGAGACCTAGGAAGCAAGTGCAAGCAATATGCGGATGTCCCTCTACACTATACTACGAAAGATCATCTCACCCTTCCCCAACACAAGTCTTTAGCGAACGACGAAGCTCGAAGATGCATTCACAAGATAGTTCTCGACGACTTCCTTAACAGCACACCCACTCTCCATTTGTCTAGTCGGGAAGATGGCGACGGTGCTCGGATGACCAAAAGGTCCACCCAGTATGCCGAGATAATTTCACAATGGCAGTTCCCCGATCGCAACCGACAAGATCTCCTGTATGCCTCTAATATACTTGGCACATCTCCAGATCTCCAGATTCAAATCCCACTGCTACCCCGCGAAGCGCGACACTTTGACGAAGACAGCATTCAAGGCTTCTACAACTCCAATATGACTCCAGAGGGCACTCTTGTTGATATACATCAAGGTGTGTTCCTTCTGGACCTAAGTTTCCTACTTAATGGCTCTTTTTAGTGGCTGACCGATATCATTGTAGACAACCTTGACGTGCTCTCGATTTGTACCGACTGGAAGATGTGGGTGTTTTTCCCCACCACACCCTCCAACATGAATCTCTTCCGGAGAGAGCAGATGTCCAAATCCTTCAAGTTAAACAAACTACGACATGATCTTGAGCATGGACAGTACGCTATCACGGCTGAACACGATTCTATATACATCCCTACCGGCTGGCTTCACGCTACGTACGCCCTACGAAACAGCTTGACTATCGGGACTGTCTGGAGTTCTGCTGAGGGTCTTGCCAACACAACTGATCGGTTGATTGCGGAGCTCAACCCACCGGAAGTCGCAGAATTTGTCATCAGTTCACTAAGCGAATTACGGCCTTTCCTTGAATGCCTCAAACAGGCTTTCCAACACAAGATGTTTGCAGAATGTCGTTCGGCCCTTCAGCGGATTTGTTTCCACACTCGAGTTGAGCAGAGATTACGGGTACCGCTGTTCAGTTTACGATTCGAAAACAGCAGAAAGAAAGACAACAAGAAGATCATTGAGGAGTTCGATAAATACTTTGAGTGTTTCAGAGTTTCTATCAATCACAGTGGCGAGAGTGAAGAGTACTGGAAATGTACAGTGGATGAGTGCCATTGCGGACTTTTGGGACATGTCAAAGAAGAACGGGTAGGGCAAGGCAAGGATGTCCAAAATGCGACACAAGACCGACGCAGACCCTGAGTCTCGGCGAAATATGAACCGCTGTCAAGAACTGCACAAGTAAAGACTTCTCATGTAGCAACCCAAAATGGATACGGTTATACATATCTTTTATCTGTGTGCTGATCTTAGCGTCCAGTGTCGTAAGTCGCTGTAAGGATTTTGTACTTTCGAGGGTACGTTTGATGACGAGTACTTGGGTGACTCTGCTGAACAGACACGAGGTGATGACAGTCATGACTTACCCACTTCTAAGAAGATGGCGCAAGAGGATAATACCATGTCGGAAAACACAATCAAGCCCGAACTTCTCATCAAGTCCAGTACCTATCCCGATAGCATACAATCGAACTTACCAAGGCCAGTAAAGTCCCACACGGTCAGAGAAATGGGCAGCAGCCGGTAAACGAGCCCAAGCTTCAATGCATTCGGGAGTATGAGGGTTGAGTAGATCAGGAAATGGGCGTTATGCACGTGCCAGCTTGAGCCCGGACAATGTCTTGGATGCCGAATAAATTTTAGTTCAGGACCAAGATCACGCACTCTTGACGGCCATCGGATGAGGTCGGTTGTTACGAATGTGGCGGTCGTGGACGTCGACAGGCTCATAGTGGAGAGGACGTGGGCGGGCAACAATGTCATCTGTTCCTAGTGGTCGAGTTTGCGGGTGTGGTATTGCTTTGGGCTATAGAGTTATTTTTGGTCGCCGGTAAGTGCAGTAGGCGTGGAGTTACGATTGGGGGTTTCACATGCTCGCTGGGTGTGACGTAGATAAGGAGCATGAGTTGTAGTCAAAGTCGATGTCTAGTGACTCGGCCTTTATGATGGATCAACGACAGGAAGCTTTCATGCTTGGCTTCGCGGACGCGTATGTAACAACATTGATTGATAGAATTCTTTTCCAGCAGACTCTTCTGGCTGATTTATCTTGTTGATGTGCGGACCTGACGTGTCGATCACAGTAATGCCGATGGATCATTGACAGGCATCAACAAGCTGTGCTTGATTGAGATAATCTATCCAGTCCACGGAGGTGCGCTTGAATGCACATAGCATTTCGCAGAATGTGGCAATCAAGTTCGAAGGTTACCAAGACGCGGATGTTAGACTCGAATTTACGACGGACCGGTGTACTGGTCCGTGAGGATCGGAGTCACTGGCTGAGACGGAGTGACTAGGCCTAAATAAGCAGAGGGCGAATGAAGTGGAGAATTTGACGTTGAGAGATGTGTAGCTGCTCCTCAACGTTATGTCTTTGTGAGTTAGGGTGTGGACGAACGTTGATGTGTTAAAAGTGGACCACATCGAGAACGGGTTGGCCGAGGACCTCGGGATTGATCTCAACTGTAGAATCTATGCTGGCCGGGGCGCCTTCCACAAGGAGCGCACCAATAACCTCCCCCTTTGGCGAAAGTTCCAGTGCGCGGGGGGTATCTCAGACTGGATGATCATTGTGTCATGACACTGGAGCAAAGTCGACAATATAAACATCTGGATAAATACGAACTTCTATCAGGAGCAACAATGAAGTCAATCCACTCAAGATGACCAGAAGGACCATGGAAACCGCATCTTGAAGCCTAAATGTTACTGGGTGTAACCCTGTAGATAATTTAATGATATGCAGACCACTACGGTCCTGTACAACATGATGAGTACCTCCTTTCGTATGGACTCAGCAGTAGCCGAGTAGGCTCAGGCGGATATGAGCGTAGCAGTGAAACAGCAATGAGTTTCGGCGTCGGCGCGGGCTGCTTCCACGCCACTAGCAAGATGAATGCCAAGAACCTTCTCTACAACGTCACAAGTCCGGACACTAGCATGTGCGGCTCACGCCGGGGTAAAACCAAAACTAATTCGATCAGCTTGGAAACATGAATCGAGCTCACAGCTTGCCCTACTGCGAGGGTAGGTCCGAGGGGATGATCTGGTTGACGAATATGGTCTTGAGTATGCCAAGCTTATACGCTACGGGACGGCCATGTTACTGTTCTGTATTTCGCACCACACTTGACTCGTTAACACACGTCTATACTCGGGACCTGGCTCCTTCGACTGGGAGTTCGTGCACGAAGACGCCCAAGCTACGAGGCCAAGGCCCGCACAGGTACATGCACCCGATCATATATGTGCTTAGCAAGCTGGTCGTGTATTTGGATCCGACAAGTCGACATAGGTAAAGGTCAGGCGGGCGCTGAGCGATGTAGCTATGTGTGCGGCAAGCTTCTCAGCATGATCGTGTCGCCCTTCCGGTCATCGATTATGCTATTGACTTGATGCATACTGAGCTTCACAGCATAGCACCAAATCGCCGATTATGTCGTATTGTGCTTGAGAGGAAGCAGTCATAGGATTTCAAGACGGCGACGCAAACAAAAACAATTGGTTGTCTTCGCCCTATCGAAGCGCATGGTGCCGTCGCTCACATTCATGATCGAGTCTGCTTTGCAAGAACCAACTCTACCTTTCTGCTTTTGGATCAGTATGACTTGTCGCATCCTCTTGGCATCTTCACCAATTTGCGGACTCAAGGTGGCCATGCTGGGCAGGGCCGGGTTGAGGGTAAAACGTTGAGTTCCAGATATAGCCTCGGCCGAAAAGACTGTGATGCAACACGTTTGGTGATGGACGCACATCAGTGATGCGATGAAATCTGATATGCCAGCTGCGTGTGGCCACGCAACTCCATCCAATCTCTTCGTCAATGACTCTTGTCCCTACCATCCAAGCACATCCGCGTTTGAGAGTTCAAGTTGAGTTGTGAGCCTATCAGCGTGACTAAACAGTTCCCTGCTCCTTGACGATTTCCCAATCTCGGACTTCGCAATACCCAGAAATCGGGTTTTGCACACGCGACACCCCATGTCTTGGCGGTCAGTACTGCACACGTTGAGACTTCACTCCACGACATGGCTGGCGGATACGTCCTGGAGCATAAAATTGGCTTTGGGATGAGCTTCACAATCGAAGACCTTGTTTCATGTCATAATTTGAGCCTGCTTGCTACTCCCAAAAACTGGATGACGACAAGCATCATCCTTGCCTCGATTCAGCTGCACGCCTTCGAAAGCGGGTAATCCATGTATATGAACGATAATAATGCGGCCAGCTCATCCTTTGGTCGCGCAGCAAACGTCTTTAGTGGGGTTTACCAATTTGACCAAGGCGGCGAGGACCATAGCGCCTGAGAGAGCGGTTCTATCGACCGTTCACGACTACGAGCGCCAACTCACTACTAACGGTGTCATTATACCAGTCCGATACACCAATGATATGTTGCAGTTAATTGGGTGCAAGCATACCCTCGTGTTATCACTGGCAAGCTTAAGTCGGCCTTACACTCTCGTCGACTTAATTAATTCTATAAACAAACACGTTTTCGAGAAGAATCACACAGCATGGGCGGCGGATGCTCGCATGAAGGAACCTTGTCGTGTCCAGGTGGTGAATGCGCGAGGAATCCATGAGCAATTTTGACCGTACAAACCTATTGTTGACATTGCGCATGCGAGGAAAAGCAGATGTTAACTCTGCTTGAAAACGAGATTACGACCATTGTCGGTTCCTCAGATGCGTCTACGTTGCCATTGTAGATCTCCCGGCACACGTCGATAATCTTATGATCGTTGACTATAGTCATGAAGTATTGCAGCGCAACATCCACTCTCCGGGCGCGTGTCTAAGGCGACTTTCGATCGAGTGGCAACGACTTCGCAAGCTTGATCATCAATGAGTGCGGGCATCCCAATGCGCTCAACCGCTTTTGACGGCGAAGTGAAGAACAGTTGAATGGATGCCCCGTGGTACGTCCTCGTATTCCATGACTCAATAACAGCGTTGTTGTGCTCTCATCAGAGATACCCAGTCTTGTAGGTGTTGTTGTCGAACACTTATGCAGTCGTCCTGAGGCCCCTTCGAAGATCGTTGTCCGATCTGGGGTTGATTACTTTAAGAGTTGTAATGAGTGTGCCAGGTTCCAGGGCCCGAAGTAGTCGTAGGAAACTCGCCTTCACGAATAGAGAGTTCAGAAATGCGAGGGCGGTGAAATTCCGACGACGAGCGCGATCTTTCATATTCTGGACTTTCGGTCGTTGTTCCAATCCTATTGAGCGTCCCACTCACATTTGGATGCTCGTATACAGGCTTACATACTCTGCGTGATCTGACGGACGTCTCATTCAACCTGTTGAACGCAACGTAACCACACACCGGAATCTGAAACAATGTGACATTCGCCAACCCACTCATGGACCGGTGATGTTTGCTCCTCTCGCTACTCCACGAGTCACTTCTACGTCCGCGTCTGTTGGTTGGGATGATCCTCTCGGAATACACTCACGCGGCTCGGTGTCGACAGATTTTCGCGATGATGGGGGAGTGCGACTGCGCCGTGGGTTGATAAACGCGAAGCCACGTGCCGATGATCTTCTGCATCGTATTTAGGATCGCATGTTCTTGTAGGAGTAGAAGATTGTAATCATAGACGTTAGCGAGGGACCTCCACTACGGCGATCTATCCTCGATGTACAATTGTAGTTGCGATGGCTTGCTCGAGTTTGTCAATGACGCGGATGTAGAACAACATTTATGCATCGCGATTATGGCGAAAACGGTACGCTTCGAGGTGCGATGTGAGCGGATCGCGAGGAAGTGACATGGACGTCGCAGTGGCCGCAGCTATCATGCTTCCACCGTCCCCATGGATTTCTGGTATGTCACCTTCGTCGTAAAGCTCTCATGTGTCGTCATGTGTCGCTACGTATCATGATGTAACCAACCATATCAAGGCGCGATAAGGAAAGTGTAGATGCAGTAGGACTGTTACTGTCGAGGTTTTGGAAGCCGTGGCTATTGCGTGTATTGGCGAACACGGGCGCGGAGATGTCACAGAACCGCGCATGCAGACCTGTAGTTGCGTGGGTGTATAATGATTCTGACAGTCGCGCTAGAATATGGCGATAGACATACAAGTCCTACGGGTAGAAACAACGAGCGTACCAGGGGACGCGGTCAAGGAGAGCCGCGCTCAATCTCGGAAGCAGGAGGTTGCGACAATGGTGCGTGCTGCGGAGGCTTAGTCAGACCATGCAGGGTATTTCGCGTTGTCGATGGCATAGTCATGGGCCGCACCGGAGAATCGGAAAAATTGGCACGAGGAAATACCTCGTTTTACGTTGGGATGTTGAGAGATTGTATTGTGAACCTGGCAGGGTTGGGGAGTCTGATTGTTCACGGAATCGGTCTACTATTCCTCCGTGTGCGCGACGATTATCTAGCCGTGGATCCGGCTCATCGGTAGGTCAGCTTGAACCTCATCTATGATACTCAAATTGGAATTGGAGTTAGAGGAGCGGATGTCATAGGTGGATGACAAAGCTAAGCGGGTTACTCGTCTCATGCGAAAGTGAATGCGTGTTTGCGTGATCGGGCAGAGCACATCAACAGTCATCTCCATTCAATTCGAAAGAAAGAACATAAACATGTATTGCTACTGCTAGGAAGAAAATTTGAGAAATGTGATCTCGCATCACTCTCATCGGGCTGGTGCTCATTATCATCGTTTTCGAAGAGGTTTCGCCCGTGATACAAAATGACCGAGAAAGTGGAAATTCCGCTGTACATACAGTGCGTGAGGGCACAACCATTGCATAAGAATCTATCTCTCACTGCAACATATCAACCAAACCAGCAACATTGCCCTGCCCTACTCATGCTCCCAAGCAAGAGAATGCGCCCAGGGATTGGTATCCGTGTACCTGCCCTGGCCCATGTGTCCAGGCCGAGGAGCGAAAGCGTCTTTCAAGCTAGCACCTCGATGTTCAGGGCCTAACGTCGGATGCGGATAGACAGAATGCTTGCCATGCATATTGGGTTTGGCAGGGGGACTGAAGGCCTTCGTATGCAATTGCGGGGACATGACATGTCCAGTCGGAACGAACGTGCGGGAGCGCGAGGACACTGTCGTTGGCGGCTCAAATCCATCCAAGAAGCCCTCGCTGTAAGTACGTGCTGGAGTCGAAGAGCGAATGCGGGACGAGTCCACTACCCGGGTAAGAAGACCAGTCTGCAGATCGATTTGCTTTTGCTGATCTCTTACTCTTGCCGTAAGCTCGCCCACAGATTCTTCTAGCCAAGTGATTGTTTTGTTGTCGCGATTCTCCATCTTATGGATTAGATTGGCTTGTTTTCCGAGTTGCGTATGCTGATCGTCGAGCTGCTGCGTCTGGCGGGCGATAGTGGAGGTCTGGTTGTCGATCTGTGAGGTGTGCTGTTGAATCTTTCCTTCTAAGAGCGCGATGGTTTGGCATAACTTCTGGACAGTGAGCTTGAACGTATTGCTATCTTTCTGAATCTGTTCGAGTACCGGTGCTGAAGTGGGTGGTTGTTGGGGGAGCACTACACTCAACGCGGAACGAGATGGTGACCGGGATTCTCCAAATTCGGGCATTGAGTGGCCATGTGAGTTGTGAACTGGGTAACCACGACCGCCGTGTACGACTTCGGGTTTGGTGTGCATATGGCTGGATGAAGATGATGCTCTGCGGGAACGGTAAGTCGGGTACTCGTTGTTCGATCCGGTACGGAGTAGATCTTGCTCCCGACCTGGCGGGGAGTGATTGCCGTATTCTGCGGGCGTCTGGTTGTAGCTCTCGTATACGGCGGTTGGCTGAGCATGCAATCCGAGATGGTCACGACAAGGGGAGTTCAAGCCATGGGTAGAGTGGTCAGGCCTGTTGCCGTTATTGACAATCTCACATCATTCTGCAGAAACAAGCTTACATGTCAACTTGCGTGCTCACAGTATCGTACCAGTCAGGATGGCGCTCTCTCTCAGCCATCTCGATATCTTCACCTGCGAAGCGCACCGCTCTCTTCTGTTCGTCCACTGACAGATCCCTTAGGATCGAGCGTGGGGATCGATCAAGCGTGCTTTCTCTGTCAAAGGCGTGGCGAGATTTGTTCATATTGGAGGCACCGTTGCCGTGAGTCTGGGCAGAGATATGCGGGGGAAATCGGTCTGGATCAGAGTGTTGCTTGCAGCGGACTACTCCCGGCTCTTTCGGGATGCGAGAGCAGCGTTGCTTGTAATTGGAAGATAGCGTGCCGGCAATGCACAGTTGTCGCTGCATAAGGGGTATGAAAAATAGTACGACAGGTGGAATTCTATCAGATGACAGAACTGGAATTGCAGTCGTTATGCATAGGGGAAGACAGAATGATAGGAAGTGGCAGATGATCCCGCAGTACGACCTCTTAAGGGCACGACGCTCAAGTCGCCGTGATTATTGCGCCAGCCTGTATTGGTATGTTCTTGAGCAAACTGATCGAAGAGGGTAATTTTTGCATGCCTCACCGGTGGTGGAAGTGCTGTGTTGTCTCGCATCCCTTTCAGGGCTTTCGCACGCTCTGATCCCCGTTTGGATCTGGAACAGTTTCACACAGTCTGCTGATCTTTTCAAACAAACTCATCCCTTCGGTATTCTGCGTCTAGGAGATCGAGACATAGCTTCCTTGAGACAGCTGGGTTACCGTGTCTGTAACATGGCAGTCAACATATCGACTGTTGTCGACACAACAGGAGAAACGCAAACACGCCCGGCCATTCGTAAGATGTTTCGATCGCGCGAAGCGAGATCAAGCCTGCAAAGTCAATCATAGCGTTCAACTGATGGGGATGTGCCGCTGTTGCAGTGATGTCAGTGTGTTTGGAGGGTGAATCATTTTTGAAGTTCGTGCTGGATTTGGGGTTGACAGGGGCCATACCGCGCTAGAATGACAAGCGTCTTGGCAACGCCAACACGGAAGGAGACATTCCGCATGAGTCAGAGCGCTCAATAACACGTACTCCAGTATTGCATCGCGCCCAGCTTAACGTCGCCTACCAACTCGAAAATGAGGGGAATACCCATATCGCTGATGAGCTTCTTGTTTCTAAAGATTGAAGTAGAGTTGTCGTCACATCCAAGCTATTGAATACGGTGACGTATAGATCGACAGGCACAAGCGGGGCACCATCAAACCAGCCACCGCGCATCGCCAGCCCAACACGTCTCCCACCTCCACATCACCACATCCGCGTTTCAAATCTCCCCTTCGCCCCTCCCAAAGCTTTTCTACTGCTTCCTTGGCGATTTCTTTTCCAGCTACTGTTGCGCTACCTCTGCACCCCCTCTATCGCTTCCTTTGCTTGCACGATCAGAGCAGGGCTCAAGGAAGCTAAAGGAGCGCATTAACCGTTGCGAGGTTTTTCGCCCAGTTAGAATGAGAAATGTCAAGTTGAGTCAACGTTAGCATGTCCAAAGTGCTAGAGAATCTGTGTCTTCACAGCCAAGTGAGCCGTTTTCGTTTTCGCCCGTCCTGAGCTCACAGCCACACAGACTCACTGGACAACTTGCAAGATCCCTTTGGATTCATATGTGAGCAATAATGAGCCTGCTATGGGGTAAATTTAGCTCGGAGCGTTGGAACATGCCGTGATTCTAGCACAGATTCGAAAGATACTGATTCGAAGATCGTCTGGCTAGATTACACTACAGTCCACAAAGCCATCTATGCGTTCCGTCCATGCTTGTAAGTACTATGGCCATGCATTTACTAGACCTATTGCATGTTCACGCCTCACTGAACTCCCGTGTCAACTCACGTGGGACCACTTTGAGTTGGGTATATAGCGTCTGCCGAAAGCCTCCTTAAATTTCCTCCCATGATCACAGCTCAACTCGACATGGCGAAAAGGTCACCAAGAGTACGTCCTGGCATTTGACGATATGAACAGATCAATGGAAGGGCATTGTCAAAAATCCACTATTGCATCATGCCTGTTGCATATTCCAGAGATCGATGCAACACAATAACCAATCACAGATGAGTCCACGAAACCAGTGAGGCATATTTTACAGTAATATCGGAATCCTGGTAAAAGCTTGAGTGAAATTTATATCGATCCGACCATGCCGAGTTCAAGATCGCAAGGCGTGGACAAGAAACATATTCTGTGTAAGCTTGTCGAACGAATTTTTGCTATTGTAGTCATTGGTTCGGTGATTCAAGGGCAGATAGTCCGGGTGTGTACTCTTTCCGCAGTTCAATTGCCCTGATATCGACAGCAACGAAACTGACAGCTACTCGAGCCACTTGGCCGCCACCCGGTACGTGTGACAAGAACGAAAACAGCAACTCAAGCTAGATCACTATAATATTCAGCGGTCGTAAGCATGATTGCGGCAAGTACGCTAGGTCAACTTAAGCTTGTTCGACTTTTTGAGGTAGAAGCCTAGTATCCTAACGCATCCCACTAGGAGAATTTCACCGTCCGAAAGTGGTACGTCGCCAATGTACATTCGGAAAACGATGTTTGTATCCGAACCCGTTACTTGGACTCTGAAATGTATGCATAGGAACGTCCTTGGTTTGACTGTTGAACATTCCATGGCGCGGCGGCAATTGCATGTGTGCGAATACCATTACTAAGATTCAGCACGAAATCGTGCTCCGACTCGGACTCTGGAGCGCGTAAGGCTACGCGAGCTAATGTATCCAGGGAGATGAAAGTCTTGGTCAATTACCCAAGCTCCTATCAGTTCTTAGATGTAGACTATTCTGGGATTAGATTTGTATGCGTTTGTGAGAAGACCAAAACGGCAAACGGAGTAATTGGATGTATATTAATGCCCTGCAAATGTACATTCTCCCATGATTCATCGGTCTCCAGTCTGGCAGTGGCATCCCAAAAGCTCAAGATGGTGTCGAAGTTACACGATATGTCTCGAACACAGCACGCCTGTCTCGAGGTTGAGAAGCGCAACGAGCCCGTTAATGGGAGGGATGCGGAGTTGATTGACGAAGTGGGAAGATCTCCCTCTACTTTGTAGTTGGGACAGCATCGGAAAGATACAAGCGTGTGCTTGATGACGTGGAGGGATATTTGCATTTTCGCGAATCGGCATTCATGTCCGAGATTCACCGTATCGGTATATTTGCATTGATCGCCTGATAAATGATGTGTTTAGACTCTGATCAACCGTTGAAGCCGCTTGCATGGGTTTTGGCCTTGAGAGCTGCGCTCACACAATTGAAGACATGGCCATGCTGAACCGAGAGATCCATCTCGTTGGGATGCACCAAGCCGAGAATGGAATACTTGACGTCGAACTCGGCTGCGTTATCAGGTAGTCCCAGGCCGACGCCAATAGGGCTGTCGAGCTCATCGGATCTCGTTCGCGAAGTTTGGTGGGTGGTCTCCTGTGCTTCATGATGAACGCTTCAACGCGAAGTGAGGTCTCTTCGATCCAGTACATGTTCCACTTGTCGCGGCTTGAGACACCCCTACGAGAAGGGTACAGCTGCATTGTAATGTCGAGGTACGAAGCATCAGAGATGCATTGCTGGTTATTGGATTGGATCAGTAGGGAACGAGACGGCCTCTCAAGTATGGGTCGGTATTCGGTGCCTCCTGCTGGATAAGCGTCCCGAACGGAGACAGGATGACGCTGAAGCAATTAAATATTCATGGATCGAATGACGAACATACTACACATGCTCTTGAGTAGACCTGAACCTAAGGCAATATAGAAGCGATGTGTGGCAGTAATCGAAGTTGATGGTCGACTGGCATGTTTGTTATCTGTGGTCGTCACCGGACGTAAACTTGTCTGGATTCTCCTAGACATAACTTCGATAGACAACCGTTCGCATCCTTCGACGGTGCAGAACCAATGTATCTGAACTGGTCATTTCTTGCAGTCAGACGTTCACTTCACATAGGCGTAAGTCATTGTGCGTCTCTAGTTTCCAGCATCCTGTTTTAGGCTTTCCATCGCTATCTCAATGACGCATAATCTCAGGGTGGAAGAGAATATAGAATACACACATCATGGTTCTCATTGTAAAAGAGCAAGACTAGCTCCTACTTTACATAATCACAGATGACGCCCGTTGTTTGGTTGACTGAGTTCTCACTTGGTTAGTCTCTCTTGGATTATATACCCTATGTTCACAAGATGGCAGATATAATTTCACTGAATTTAATAGATGGAGGGTATGCTATCAAATGTTAAACGAATGGATGGAAGCCACATCTCAAATGCCGATGAGGGAGGCTCTTAACAGGATATTCCATTGAGTGACAGAGTTAGTCATTTGCGTTCATGCTCTCTCTTGTATGCTAAGAAATGCAGAGTGGAAGAGTGGCGACGAATTGGACGACCGAGGGTCATTCAGTAAGGCAGGCCTAGTGCGCCAGAAAACTTATTGGCTAGACAAATGAGAAGTGAGACTTGGACGCACAAGCTATCAAAAAGGACAGCTATACACACAACTATGCCACATTTACTCGTTGTAGGTAGCTTGCTGTAAATTTTCCAATATGGTGGGCTGACTATCCGAAACCAAGCACAAAGTCCATAAGAAGGCGCAGTGTGAGAGCGTGATATTGGTCAACTGATAACAAGATACTGTAGAGCGATCACGGCATCTACAAGCAGGACATGGCTTGCATGAATGATATGTCCCATGAGCAATTGCCGGAAGTTTTCGAAGTTTGCCTGTATGCTCGCTGGAAGAGGTGCATCAGAATAGAAGGCAATCGAAGTCCTCGGTGGCGGAGAGTGAAGGTCAATGAACGCAGTTGTGGGTAGATGAGTGTATATACGTTGCGCTCACGTACGTTGTACCACGCACTTGCCGTGCTCCTTATCTCGTGCCCTGTCATCTAACTTGGTTCGAAATAACACTCTACATATCATCCAGCCTCAACGTCGAAGGAAAGTGCGCATTCACCTCCCCGTCATGATGCCTCACAGTTGTACTCGATGATCTGCAGCATTAAGATGCACATCCTGGGTGAGGTGTTCACGCTAGGTGTCAAGTGCTGGACTTCGTTTGGCACGCCATGTTATATCAAGGTTATATTTTCCCATGAGGGCGCTGGAGTCGGAACATATACCTGGACTTTTTCTGTGGTAACCCATATTGATTTGATCTCTGAATCCATCGTGTTGTCTCCAGGCGCTTTGACGAGTTCCACAAATAGACATCACAGTAGGTCCAAGTGACGTAGACGAGTTTCCCAAGGAGATCGTTCTGGTGCTACATCATATTACCGGTCGAGACTCACACAGTTTGATGGTTGTCGCGATCAACCAATACGTGTTATTCAGGTCATACCCACAGTCAGCTACGCAACCCCCCTAAGCTGTCACGGATGTATAACGGGAATGCAAAGTTTCTAGGCGCGTAGTGGTTCGTCTTCCGTGATCATCCACGATGGGGCACATAGATCTCGGACAGTCGTGCAGAAAAAACACAATGGACATTATCGCGACTACGTAACGATTGCAATCCTGCATATTCCCCAAGCCCCCATGATCCTCCACCATCTTGCACTGATTCTCCCCGACCTGCACATCCATCTCGCGCTCCCGACCAAGGCGTCCCTTGATCGAGAACCCCAGACTCGAGAAAGGCGTCCCTTTCTCAAGACTGGTGCGTACGAAGTGGATGTAGTGGGAGAAATCAAGCAGAGTGAAACTATCAAAACGAGACGAGAATAATAAAACAAATGACACGACTGCGCACACTCTCCTTCTTCAGTTGTGTAGTATATCCACGCCCAATTCTGTATGCCATGTGCCGTTTGCGAGGAAAGAGATGAGGAATGCTTTGATTGGACGACTTGTGTATGTTGTTGCGTTAAGCATAATTGGATATTCATGATGGGAATCGAGCTGATGCGTACAAAGGCGTGGACGTTGAGGTATCCAGAGTTAGGTGGAACGTGATGTGGTGTATACGCAAATGTGTCGGCAAAACACCCCCGTGATGAAGAAGACATAATGATAGCGATGTAGAGCTCTCAGGTTCACAGCTGCGAACGACGCAAATAGGCGCTCTGAATGACGAGTATGGATGGAGGTTTCGGGATCTGTTGAGCCACGCTTTATGACAGTTGTTGGTCGCAGCCAGGGAAATCATAGATCGGTTGATTGTGGTTGTGTTCATGGCAGCAGAACATGAAGGGAGGCGTAAGGTATTCAGGGGGTGGTATCTGGGTGGCGACGATTGAAGGAACGACATCAGAGAACGAAGCTCGCTCGCATGCGACACTCGCTGGCTGATTTGGAAGAGGCGTTGCGAAGGTGAAACTTGATACCGCCATAAGAATATATGAGTTCAGTCTGTGAACAGAAACAAGGTAGCAACGATGACAAAGAAGACGTTTGGAAAACCCAACAATCTTCTACTCAGCAAGATCCTCAAGCGTACAAAGTCCTGGGCCCAGGATCATTGCACGCTCTCAGATCTACCCGCAACGTAAGCGTGCACTCTTGCGATTGGGCTTGCTGGACAAGAAAGATTGTTTGGTAGTTTGGAAGAGATGCAAGAAGTTGTATAAGTGACAGCATGGTAGGTAGAGCTAGGAAGAACAGACACAAGCTTTTATGGTACGAAGAATACAAATAAAATACATATTGAGATCTGCCAGCGACACGAGAACGTTGTCTGAGATACCTGAGTACAGAATGGTCGGATTACTCTACTTTGCATGTGTGTCAAGACATCCTACATTGAGAGATTGTGGATGTGATTTCCGAATCGGGATGTATTCGCCACAAGTAGTTAGCGTCATGCACTTCCATTCTAGATCGCCACGCGCCGTTGGCTAAGACAACTACAAACTTTTTGAGCATGACACTTCTCTTTGTGTGTCGACACTCCTCCCACGTTAGTTGCACACATCTTGCTGTAGAGAAACCCTCTATCTATTTGCCCCGGGCGAAAGGTACATGTGCTCATTTTCGTAGGCGCACGAAACACGACGGTAACTTTTACTGGGAGCCCCCCCCTCCCCCCCAACGCAGCTAGCTCTTCTCCTTTCCCCTACACGACGAAACCCTCCAACTCACATCATGCCGCCGTTGTTGAAGCACATCGACGAGGAACTTGAGGCTCTTGATCACAGGGCCATCAAAGAACGATACAATTACTCGGATGATAGGTATGATGAGATGCGACGACGAACACCATGGGTACTCGTCTGTGATCAAGAGAATCTACTTGCAGAGATTGAGGAAGAAAAGGACCAGGAAGGCTACGCCACTGAAGTGTCAAGCGAAAATTCGACTGAGGACGATTCAAGCGCTTCAACACAGGGTAACTCCGAGCAAAATGGTAATGTTGATCCACTACCTCATGCCATGCACACCATAAGATCCCAAAAGCTGCGTTCTTACCTTTATGTTATTCAACGCTTAAGTCGTTGAATTGCCCAAAGACTGACGAACGTGACCCAGAGCAACTACGAACCGTAATCCAGGCACCATCGATTCCCGTCGTCTCCTACCCCAGCGACCCTGTCTTGGAGGTACTACCTACGGTAGCGTTGTCCTATGCACCCCTTTCCGTTACCCACAATGTCGCGCCAGATGTACCACGTGGTCAATCTTTGTCTCGCAGAGAGGCCTTTTCCATCTGCAACATCGATCCTGAAGTTCTTCATAGCCCATCTTTATCACACACACAGGCCTTCTGCGTCTACGACACTCCACCTACAACGTTTCACAACCCAGCATTGAATTGTTCTATGATTTCTCACGTGGATACTGTACCCAATGTGCCTCGTGGCCAAGCATTGACATACATCGAGGTCGTATGCATCTACGATGCTCCGCCTACGACGCTGCATAACCAGGCATTGGCATTCTCACCAACTTCCTTCATCGATATCGAACCTATGATGCCTTTATACCAGGACGCCATGGAACAAGAGATCATTAAGCAAAAACATCTCCTAAAGAGAGCAGAAGAACGTGCTCATGAACACGAACGTCAGGCTAAGGCAGCAAAAGAAAGAGCAGAAGACGCAATACAGAAAGAACGACAGACAAGCGAGCGATTAGTCGCTTTGGAACTAGAGACTAAAGAGAATGCTCGAGCATGTGACCTTCGGGTTCAAGAAGCAGACAAAAGGGCGAGCAAGGCTAATCAGAGGAAAGACGAAGCAGGTAAGAAGCTGCATAATCATGTGGAATGAACAGCCATGGGCCATGGCAATCTAACAATGGATGTAGACGCGCATGCCCAGGACTGCACAAGTCGAGCTCAGATGGCAGAACAGAGGGCTCAATCAGAGATGGAAGCGCAACGCGCCCGCGCGGACAAAGCGGAGTCAGACATGGCTGCAGAACGGATCCTCGCAGAAGCTGCAGCCAAATCGCACCAGACAGACATGCACCAAGCAAAATCTGCAGCAGATACCCTGCGGGAGCAGGACATGGGAAGGGAACATGTGCTTATCGCAATGAGCGAGCGTATCAGCGAGCTGGATGAGTTCCTGAGACTCGCCAAGTTGGAGAATGAGCAATTGGAAAAGAGGTGCAAGTGGGCCGAGACTGATGCTCCCACTGATGTTTCCCACGACCAACAAGGAGAAGCCGTCAAATCGTTGGCTCACTTGACTCGGTACCATGCCGACCCCTCCACCGTCGAATTGAAGCTGGAGCATGATTTCTATCCAAACATCACACACAACATGGACGCCCTCAGCTGCATGATGCACGAAGTCCGAATGCGTCGCAATCCTTTGCAGGCAGCAAGGGAACTGCGTGCGTGTGTCATACTCGCCATCAACTATCTTAATATCTGGAACTGTGGGGCGTGTGGCAATGCCGAACAGCGTGCCAAAAAAGCCGAGTTGCAAGCCGAGGCGGCGAAGTGGAATTTTGAGTTGTAGGGCAGGTTTTTGTGGCTTGACATTTCCATTCGCGTTTACCGTCTTCACCACAGATTATGTGATCGGCTTCGCGACCTCCCTAAGTGGCAGTTGTTGCTGTCTGATTTCAAACTATTCAAAGGACATAATAATGCAACTTCTCCTTGACCTAGAAACAAGTTGATGGTGTCTTCGCAGAAAGCAAGCACCAAATAATTGGGGTGATATTTGTTGTTTCTCAACCAAAGCGCTTCCACCATTGCTAGTTGTTGTTTGGATCTCTTTCTTTGTTCCATTCTCAACGATTGCTCCGCCAATACATTTGCGGGCGATGCTTACCACTGCAAAGGCTTTGCGTTGCTCTTGTGAGTTTGCCAACCGTTATCGTACAAGTTGATAAGTAATTGAGACACACTCATCAACTCACATCTCATCTTGCACACCTTACGAAGAACAATTGATTGGTCTAGTCGAGACCCTTCGCCTGGTAAGAGTCAGGACAAGCATCTCTGGTTGCTCTACCTAACATCCATTCTACAGAACGTCATGGGTAAGTCTCATTCGCATCGGAACTCGCACAACCGAAAGAGCCCAGACAACCAGAAACCTTCATCAGCGTCCGAGACTTCCTCGACTGAATCCGAATCCTACCAACACCCGATTTCTCCTAGCAGCCCTCGTCCGGCAAAGCCTACCCTGACGACCAACCCTCATGTCATGAAGATTGGGCAACAGCTGCATCTCTATTCTACCTTGCACAAGATCCGAAAGCAAGAATACATTGATGCTCTCGCCAAGTTCCGAGCCTGGTACCCACCCCACAAGAAACTCGTCTCGGACCCCGACCTTCATAATGAATGGGCCAACTCGTCAAACCGTAACCGGGCTTTTGCGCAACTCATCCGTGGCATGGAAGATGCCGAGACGCGAGCCATTGCGTACAATGAGGCATTGGCTGATGCGGAGCGGAGCACCGTTGGCAGAGGTTCAACTCGAAGCCGGTTCGAAAGCTTGGCGAGAAGCGACGCGGGAGGTTCGATACAAAGCCATGGCATGAGAGCGCTGACCAAGAGGGACAAAAGGTTTCGCCGAACTCGACCTCAGCCTGTGGAAGATCGGAACCCAACTACCCCAACACCTCTCAGATCTGGAGACCGATACACAGCCCTGGATGATGATGACGATTATGATGACAAGCCACGTCAGGCGAACAGAAAGCAACATGTCTCAAAGAAACAAGCGGGGTCTGGGAAGACTGGCCGAGCTATATACCGGAACCCAATGTCCTCGCAAAGCTCAGAGCAATCATCAGACACTGCAAGATACCAGGGCCCATCACGATCATCTTCTCGAAACCACAACAGTAAAACCATACCCACCTCCGTCCCAACATCTCCGCTAGATGCTTCACCTCAGACCGACACCGGGCTTCCCTCCTCGTCATCGGCTCCAGTCTCCACACCCGCTGCCACATCTGCTCCAGATTCTGATCTCGCCGGCGTCCCTCCAGGTCCCATCGCATACGCCTTGGACAAGCTGTTCAACCTGAGTCGTGCCACTACACGTCCGGTACCTCCCCCAACACGGAGCATGAAGTTCGAAGTTCGGGGCCAGGAATACTCGTACACGGGACCAGTCATCCGGATGGAAACGAATGGGAGTGGCAGGAACACAGACGATGGACTTTCAGGCATGGGTATGGCTAACATGATGATGGGTGTTGTCGGAATGAACATGCCTGGCATGGGACCACAGCAGATGCCAGGTGTGGGTTTCGGTATCAGTAATCACCGTCAAGAGGGTGTTGGTCAGGTAACGCAGCAGCCTCAGGGTCGGCGAAGGTTGGTGGAGTTGAAGAACGGCCGCGCGAAGAAGAGAACTCTGACCGATACTGAGAGTGACTCGGATGAGCGGCAACAAAAGAAGAAGAAGGGAAGAAGGTCGGAGAAGTAGGGGGTACTGTGGTCGTGGCGAGCGTTGTGGAACGAAGTGTTAGAAAGACTAGAGGAACTGGGTTTGGGACAAGGGTTAGACTTTTGCTTTCGTTATAGAATCTGGACTTTCAATTCATTGTATTGCAACTGATACATCCCATTGTATGTTTTCATGGTGAGCTTGTTGCTTAGCATATCCACAAAATAATCGCAGCCATGAGTTTCCATTGTCGTTCACTTTCCAACAAACTGGCTCAAGCCTCGAGGCATGATGTAATGAAATGGTCGGGCGGTGCGAGTGATCGGCGGTACGGGGGTCGTGAGTGACCAGCGAGTATGCTCAAGATTCATGGTCAGCTAATCCCACTCAGCACCGCTTATGTAGGTTCTGAACTTACCGTGATATTCCACCTTCACCCTTCTGCTTCCTTTGACACGTATCACCATGTCGAAATCGTTGGTTCGTGCTTTGTCAACGACATGACTGTCCTTGTGGAGTACTTGGGCGTAGTTACCGTCCAGTCCTGCCTGGGCACCCATGTTGTATGTTCTCCTGCATCTTCGACGACTCGATATCCGTACACACCGCCGTAATGCATCAAGAGTCGATAACCGCCGTGTACAAAGGGCGCAACGCAAAGGATGAGGAATAGATATAGAAGGTGCGGCTGGTCGGCTTTAGAGGCAATAACGACGAAAACTATGGCCAGAGAGATGCACGTGGCGTAGGTGTGTGCGATACCCATTTCAACGTAGGCTGTGACGATGATGTAGATGCCTGACATGATGAGCGCCCAGATAACGGCCAGGAGGGAGAGTTCGCCTTTGTTAGTGGCATTGCCCAGGTAGAAACTGGAAATGATGAGAATGCAGAAGAGCCAGCTGCAACCGACTATGTTGTATACATCTGTCTCGGCAGTAGTGTGGTGGACATCCATGTGTGCGATGACACGTAGTGGAATGGGAACCCGATTTTGGGCCTCGACGGTAGGTAGAAGACGTTTTGATGGCGAAGAAGACAGTTTGTGGGTTGGCTGGCTTGACAGTTCTGTCACAGAGTTGGTGTTGTGCGGGAAGCGTCATGTTCTCGCTGCCTGGTGCGCGGTGTAGTGCCAAGTTTGTCGGTGGTACAAGCCATACAGCGCGCTCCATCCCAACAATTCCACCCCAACTCGCCGCCTTCCATAGCTCTATCTTCATACGACAGTTCACTTTTCAGAGGTAGTCGAGCGTCTGATATCTGTCGTGAGAGACCCGTGCAACGTACCTTTACAACACCCTCCAACAGACCATTGCACGAATTCGACATGCCGATCCCTGAGCGGTGGCATATGACACCTACGCCGTGGTATCAGAGATACGCAAAAGCATTCTTCTCACTTCTCCTCGCTGTCATACTCAGCCTAGCCCTGGAACGTCAAGCACGTCCGTACGCTGTTCCTGACATCGATCACACGCTCGCTGGATTGCCACTCAGCTTCACTGCTCCTAGGGTAACAGCAATTCCACTCAACGTCTTGGACGAACAACTCGGCTCTCACGTGCAGAACCTCATCGCATCAGCAGCCTCGGTTCACGACTTCGCTACGGAAACATCATGGAGGAAGGTCAGCGACAAGGACTTTACCGTGCAAGTCCCCAATACCGACTGCGAACTTCTTGTTAGTGAAAGCGCAAAGAACATCGCCCTTGTGCGAGCTGTCGACGCAGCCGTTGCAACTTTCCTCAATCGGAACACACACTACCAACTACGAGCCGTCTCTGAGACCTTGAACGATTGCGAGCGTAGCGTGACGGCAGCTATGTACCCACCCTCTAGGCCTGTATGGTCGTCCAAACGCCCCTTGGTTCAACATGGCGAAACCGCACTTGCCCGCTGCTACAAAACACTCTATTCGCTTGTCAGGAGCGTTGATGCTGCGCCAGCTCGAGTATTCGAAGCCGCTGAGGCCCTTTTGGCTCATAGCAAGACTTCCATGCATGTCGCGAACCACGGCATATTCGACCGGCCGTACCCTTGCCCTGACACAAGAGTTCATAACGTATGTAAGCTTGCCGACGTTGCAATCGAGAAAAAAGAGGCATTTCGTGATTTCGCACGGAATCTGTCAAAGATCGAGGACACCAGCATGGAACTCGAAAAGATGATGACTCAGTACATTAGTATGTGGCAGCACCCTCTTGACTATCTGAGTGCACAGATGTGGGGGCAGGAACATCACATTGCTGGCCAATATAGAGATGACGATCCGCATAGATGGACGCATGAAGTGTTGCCACCAAGGGAGGCTGTGCGGCGGCTACAATATATATTTGCCGCATCTGTGCAGATGAAGTAGTAAGTTTCCATGTATACTTACAGCAAGTGTCTAGCATAACTGACGACTGTGTCTTTTCCCAGAACAGATACCGGTAGGGACATGGGGAGTGAACTTTTTCCTACCACAATTACCACAACCAGAGTCTCTACGCAGGTGGAAATGTTTTCTCCAACTCGTCCCATGCCTCTATTCTCAGATGTTCCCGTATATCAGGCCCGTCCCTAGATCTCTGAATGATCCTGTTTACTTCTGCAAGAATAGATTCGTAAACATCCTTTATCTCGCCACGCGAACATATATCCATGTGCTTTTTCATTGCTTCGCGACCTAGGTTGAGTTTAAGCTGATCGCGTGTCTGCTCGCGGGAGCGAACGAGGTCTTTGACAAACACGAAGATAGTTCTGGCGACTTCCGATTGCACTGGGTGAACGGTATGTGTTAGCTCTTGTTTTATCGTGACGGTGGCATGCAGGAATAGGACGTGGGAGAATTCAGCGCAGGGTTGACTTGCATGAAATTGATTGGTCTTCCAATTTCATTTTCTCAACCTGTGCCCGGAGCAGACCAAGTTGGTCTCTGGTTGACATCTTTCCGATCTCATAGTTCTCCAACCTTTCCTCCAGTTCTTTATTCCTGTTGCTCAGATCATTGCAATCCCTCCTGAACTGGTCCCGTTCGTTGCGGAGTTTCACGTACCAGCCGTGAAGATGGCTATCTATCTCGGGCGTGAACTCGTTCAATTCCTGTGGAGACATGATGTGGTGTAAGGCAGTTCAAGATTAAGAAGTTCAGGACGTCTGATAACCGAAGCTTGATCGAGAAAAGGCTGCCAGGGTTTCCGAGTATATGGGGAGCAATGTTGGATGTTTTCGAGTCATCGATGATTACAAAACGCAACAAGCAGGGATAACAAATCCGGCAACAATTCTCGAGAGCCTATGTGTGTGTGAGTAAATAACCGCATGCGTTGAAGGATGAGCGCATGCTTCTTTGTTGCTTAACGCATGCAGAATGTCAAAGGAGAAGCGGTGAGCCTTTTTGCAAGGGTTTTGTTCAATGCTACACAAACACGATGCAACACACAGCTCACTATAGTGCCTGGCATAAGTAGTGTAGAATAGAGACAGTGTCGAAATGGCTTACAGGGTGACAAGCACGGGTTGGTACAGGCATTGCTGTTAGTCAAAGGGCATGCGCGCCCCCACTATGTATTACCGAGCACACAGACCACTATCCCCACTATACACTACTCAAGCCGGGTACCCTAGCACATGCTTGCGATGAGGGAAACCCACTAGCAAGGAGCCAGGAACACAGCATAATCCTTGACAGCCGAGATCGAAAGGTTGTTGAACAAATTGCTTATTGCACGTCAAGATGGTCATTGTTTGCAGGGTTGTGTAGATGCTTACAGAGAGTTTTGCATCACGGTATCAACGCCACAAACACATCCTGCTATGCAAGATATCTCTCTGGAATCGCCTGATGGTAACCATCTCTGTACTACACGACCAGGTTAGACGCATGCAGGGTGATGTTGTGGGCTGAAGATGATTGTTGAGAAATCGAACACCAAGCAGAAATGCCGTGTAACATGCAGGGCGGGAGGTGACATGATTCAAATCAATCACGCTAGGTTGATGTTTGTGTACGTTTGGAGGGTGTGCCAGTTGCGTTCAGCAATCGTTTCTTTATGAAGCCGCAGGGGTCGACATATCGCGGTTGCACCCCCAATGTTGAAGACATGTCACTGAGACTTAGGCAAGAACATACGTCTCTATGTCAGCTCTACAAGCTGTTGTACAGCGAAGAGTTCATCTGTTCCATCGCGGTAGTCTATCTTTGAACCAAGCTCTAACCATCGTTATTGGTACTTTGAACCGGCGGTTTCTGGAATTGCACTAGCAGGGGACAAGCGAGGCAGTTCCAGGTGTATCCAATCAACCGAGTTCCCATGATATCCAGCCGCCACCCTTTGCTAGCGTTGATTTAAAAAGGCAGAGTCATGCAGAACCCACTATCGATGCCTGGAGCCAATCATGGGCAAGCGCACATTGGCGTGGTCGCAAGCGTCTGCTAAGTGTAGTGTTGGCGCCAGTAGGGATCAACGTCCTCAGCACCCGCCACACTAATGTTCACGATATCGGCATTGATGAGTTGACAAGGATTGCACAAGAGGCACGTGAGAAACGAGGGAATGCCTTAACAAAATAAGTGTGACGGGTTGAGGTTCGATCGAGGTTGCCGCTGTCTCCAGAGTTTGACGACAACGAGCTGAGCGTCTCTTCGGATCGTAGGGGAAAATCTATCATCTACAATCAATCAGGTGATTCGTTGCTCTATCAAATGCAGGATCCTGTCATGACGATAGTAGAGAGTCTCCAACGCACTATTCATGCCCAATCCCACGTGGCCATGATCGTTGAGATGATTATAGACGGGCCTAGTGGTATCCCCTGGCTTCACTCGATTGAAAACATAGAACAAAATACGGCCTTTTGGAGCTGCACATTATTCATAGGTTCATGAAGATGGGTAGAATATCATATGACGTGCGACAGCCGCCCTGACGGAGCTCTCAACATAGGTTGAAAAGGCACCAGTATACATATCTAGTCACCAGCTTTTCCCCAGCACACCGTGAAGCTATATTGCACGATTTCAATGACCCAATAGCCCTTCTCTTATGCCTCTCCCCGGACATTCAGTACAATGATCAGTCCATTTGAGGAAAACCGAGGTCTACCAATTCCGCATCAGTCGGGTAGAATTCAGAGATATCCAACAGTTCTTCCGCTTGGGCTGTTTTGGAATAACGCGCAAGGGGAGATTCAGGGTCCGAAGGCAAAGTGAACAGAAACACTGGCCGCTTTGGAAGAGTCGCCGAAGGCACATGTGTGAAAAGTGGACCGAAAAGTGTGGTGTTCATGGGAGCAGATGATGTTTCGCCTCTGAAATTAGGTATAGTTTCGTGTTCTTCGTAAGGATCTTCTGATTCATTTGATGGTACCACTGAAGAGTTTGTACTTGCCCCCTTGTCGGCGGACCTCTGATCCAACGGCAAATGCACGGAATTGCTGCCATGAGGGAATTCCGAGGTCGTGTCACTTGTCCTTCTAGTCTTCTGTTCCAACTGCAGACGCAACCCCATGTTTTGCCTCTTCAGCTCTTTCTCTACTTTCTGCGACTGTTTAAGCTTTCTTTGTGTCTTCTCGAGCTGATCCCGAAGCTGCTGAATCTCACTCTCAAGATCTCCCATCCTTGTTTCGGGTGGGTCGAGCCTTTGCAAACCCTTTGGGCCGGCTGTCTGGTTGTTCCACTTGCTCGAGCGTCGTTGCTGACGAGAACGACCTTTTGGGGTAGAAAGGCATACAGTCGTGGACTTCGTGCGTTTGTTTGATTTGGGTGTCGCGAGTACATCGCTGGCTATACGCTTGAGGCTGGCCGAGTCTCCAGGAGTAGTGACTTTTGGGTCTTCGCCGTCTACTTGTTGGGTCATCAGACGCTCCCCGAGGAAGACTTGTCCTTGCCAATCAAGATGTTGAGGTGTCGGAGCGATGGATCTACTGTTGGCATCCAATGCATCACTGAACATATCATACGATGATGACGGTACGGCCAGATACCCATCGTAGTCGGGGGGCGCATCAGCACCACCCATGGGGTGTATCGAATTGAGAAAGTCGTCTAGATTGATGTTCGGAAACGTGGAGAAACTCGACATATCCATCGCTCTCTGAGTGGCGTGTTGCTGATCTTTCGGAAGATCTTGGAACTGAGTAACTGCGTGAATAGTTTTGGAGCGAAGGACTGGAACTAACAGATCGCAAACGCCATCAATGAAATGCGGACATAGAACCGGCATGTACTGTCTGCTGAGATCAATCTTATGTTTAGGAAGGAGATATGCAAATTGTAAGGTTGGGTCACGGCGGTCTGGCTTAACCCTGGTCAATCCCTGGGCACTAGCAATCTACTACCAAGCATCAACAGTATCTGTCCATAATAGTACGGGTTTTTAATGGCTGGATCATGCTGCTGGGGCGTTGAGATCATCGCAAAGACAGGTCTGTGTTGTTAGAACGTGGTGAATCATACAATGCCAGCTGGATCGTTTGTCTTAGCAGTGAAACAGACTATAGTGAGTAGTTCACCAGGACCTTTGTAGTCCATCCTTAGCCCGCTACCGGGCAGTTACCGTTCTCCAAGCAGTGGTGAATGTCCACGCCAGACATTGTACAAGGATCAAGCCGGACACCATCATGGAATAAGCACAACATGAAATTATTGCAAAGCATCATTGCGATCGCTGTAATTACATGGTCTACATATCAAACCTTCATTCGTGCTGGCTATGTCAAACTAGGCTAAAAAGACCTGAGTGGACTTTGTTAGCTGTACAAACAACGGCAAGCTTGCATCTAGTAGACAAGATGATTCTCAAGACTCTGCTAGAGTTAACCGTTGCTTTGATTCACGACCAAGACGGTGCTCTTCATGCTTTCAGTTTGACCATGATTCAAGCTTTTGATACCACTGAGTGCTAGATTATCTTGATCTAGCTTTTCCGGTCAGAACGAAGTGAGACATCGGAAGACAGGTTTCAAATTAGGGAAAGGTTTCACCTAATCTGCGGTTAACACATTTTGGAACTGAACAGAAACCGCGATCCATCCGTAGTAGGTAATAGAGATGTGTAACGCCCCAAAAAGGAAGTCATCCTGAATTGGACGCGTCAGTTGTCTTTTTCAGGTTGCAAGAAAATCCATACAAGGCCTAATTCAGTCCGACCAATTTCGAACTATCTCTACGCTCTACTGCGTACGCCCTTTCCTATCTCTTTGCAGGTTTCCTCTCATTCACCGTTCTGTGTGTCTACATACCATGTCCCCATCTCAGCGTTGTAGTGCCGCTACTACAAAGGGACTCCAGTGCGATAGAAATGCGAGCAACCGCCACCTCATCCGCCACCGATGCTGGCAGCATCAAGATCAGCGCCTTGTTCCAACATTCCGCGAAGCAGGCAAGTCTGTCCAGAGGACCAGCAGTAAGCCTGAGACTCGAGATGGAGCCAGAAGCCGGAGTAGGAGTGCTAGTAGGCCTAGAGTGCAAATCAGCCCAGATGTTGATGTCGTATACTTTGAGAGAGAAGGAAGTGTTGACACGCTAGATGTGGGTCGCAAAAAGAGGTATGTATGTCCCTGTCAGACCTTTCCGCACACTTTCGTTGACGTTTCGCGCAGGCCGACCTCGTTTGGCCGTTCACGCCGCAATTCCGCAACGTCCGAGGATTTCTTTACTCTGAAACGCGACGTGGGTGACAAGCTATCGTCGATGAAAAGCATCATTCACGACAAGTTCTCGGCTATGAAGCGCGATACGTCAGATGAGCTCAAGGCTTTGCAACAACATATGGACCAGTCGATCGATCATCTCGGCAAATTGATGGCCAGACTGACCCGCGAGGTTCACACTGCAACGCCTTCTACTTCAGACAGGCGTAATTCGACCTCAAGGAGGATCCGACGATCTTTCCACGATCATGCGGTGGTTCCATCTGTGGAATGAGTAGGACGTGCAGGACAAGATTGCTATGATTGGTTTCTTTCGATACAAGGCTTACATGGCAGTGCTATTGGACAACTAAGTAGCACTTAGATTCTTGCTAATCACATGCGTCTTGCCCCATATTTCAGAACATCTACAACCTGTCTCAACCATGCTCTCTCCTCTCCAGCATCAAACCCCACCCCGCCACCAAACTTCCAGTTGACGATCCCATGCTCTTCTCCATCCTCATCCGTCATTGTCATGTCTTCCCCATTCAGCACCCTCAATACCAGCTGTCTCAGCATCCATGTAACCGCCACTCCACAATTTGTTCCCTCATGGGTTTGTGGAATAGTCTCTTCACTGACGCCAGTGAATCCATGTACATTCCACCCATAGATGGTCCTCATGCGGAGCATTATGGCTCTTGCCTCATCTCTGTTGTGATGGTGCAAGGGATCATAGTGCCGGACTGTAACCTCATGGTCGCTGTCTGGAGGAGGAAGTAGAACATGAACAAGTGACCAGTGGGTTCCACCAACGGACATTCGGTCGCTCATTTTGGAGACCTCCGTATTGATTGGAAGGAATATGTGCGGAGCATACTGGATGGGCGGAAAGACACCTTGCGCCATTGCGCTGTCGAAGTCTTCATCGGGAATATCCTTGATGAGCTGTGACAATCCGGTAGGTGCGATGAACACTGAACCAGGGAAGGAGGGAAGGAGGTATTTGTTGAGATAGTCAGAGTGTAGGTCGATGTTAACGTCGTGAAGCCAATGTCCATCCCGAAGATTGTCGCGATCTTGGAGGCGGTAGTTTTCGCGTGCTGAAGAACCGAATTGAAAGACCACTGGGTTGGTTTCGTCCATCTCCCGTTTCCACTGTGCGGAAGCTAAGCTGTCGGGCTGTCGGTGGTTTGACATAGTCCAGCGATCGGCAAATCGCCCTCGTCTTGTTTGGTTTTGGTTCACGAATGTTGATCTTCTGGTGCTGGACAATGCTGTGGAGTTGCAATCTATCGACTGGTCAATATCGAGGTAATTTTTCGAGTGATTACAAAGGCTTTGTCAACTTCGTTGTTTGATAGGTCACATACCTTGCTGCCGTTGTACGGACAGTAAAATGTCGGGCCACTTCACGCACACTCATGCAAATGAGGATTTTAAGATTTTCTATCGTAAACCCTTATATGATAGGAGTAAGGGGGTAGGACAAGGACTAGCAGAGTGTTAAACGCCATTTCCATGTCTCGATGTTGCACAAGGCGCCCTCGTTATTTTGTGTAACTGCTATTATCTCACTTGTACCCCCCGACGTATGTATGCCACCTCCACCTGGAAGCAAGCATGCCTCAATTCTGGTATCACGAGCAGGACCTGGAACGTAAGAGTTGTGCGTCATAGTTATTAAATGGAAACTAGATGGGCGAGAGAACGCATAAAAACAATGTTCCAGGCAGTCAACGTCAAGGTCTGAGATACCAACTATTACCATCAAGATATATACATGCCTCCCTTGCTGTCTTCATTATATTCCTACTCAGATCTACAGAGAAGCTTATTTTGTCAGATCTCTAGGTTCTGCACCAGATGGAGAACGTGCTTCAACCTCATAGACCTGTTCCTTGTCTTCAACTTTCACCTCCACCTCCATCGAACCTCGGAATGTGTTCCTCAGCAAACTATCTATAGCCGGACCAACTGGAGTTCGCGGTCGATTGTGCAATATATGCCGATCGCTCAGTCTCTCCCTTGCCTGCTGTTCCGACCCTTCGCCCTGGCCATCCTGCAAATATCTTATCTGCCGTTCAAGTCGATGCTGATCTTCCAGCAGTCTGGCAGTCCACTCGCATAACATGCTGATGGCTTCATCTGCTTGCGTGCTTCGGTCCAATACCTCCAACATTGTTCTGTTGTACTCCTGAAATGCGTTGCGAGGATGTTCTTGGGTGTAGTCGCGAGCGGAGACCAGGGGACCGGTGTTTTGTCGCAGTTCTTCAGCGACCAGCAAGCCCTTCATATAGGCCTCGGTATTTGGAACACCAAGAAGTACCAACCTGAGTGTAGTGTCGGTGTTGTACGGGCTACTCCCGACTGGGTTCGAGGTCAAGTAGCCGTGCTTCTGAGTCTCTTCGTGGCTGAGCTTCGGTGGGAAGCCATACATTCGGCGAAACTTCTCGTCAATATCGTCTCCGGACTCGTATTTCAGTTCAGGCTGTGAAGTTGCTGTCACGCTTACATGAGAAGAATCTATAGTATCTGGCACATCAGCGCCATCATTCTGCGTGGCGTGATACATACCATGAGTCGAACTCTCGTTTGCAGTTCTCGAGAAATTTTGACGAACGTCAGAAGATCCAAGGTTGGCCTCTTTAGCACTCGCAGTACGCGGTTGTTCACTCCCTGCCCGTCTACGGGTTGAGGACAGGGTCAACGAGCCTACTGATTCTGACCCTGATGAGATCAAGCCGATATGCAATTGCTCGCGGCGAAACTGCATAAGGTGCTGAACGCATAGGATGTCATCACCACCAGGCTTTTCTGGGAGTACTGCCTGGCGGGTACATCGCTTGCCATCCTCGATGACAAAACACATCCACTCATTGGTCATCTGAAATGTCAGCATTGCGAATGGTGATAGAAGGTGTGCTATGACCCTACACTTTGGAGATATAGCAGTGCTTCTTGGACGAGGTGGATAGGTAGATAGTCTGAGCAAGATCACTTTGGGCAGCTGGTTTCTGCTAAAGCTTGACGGGCACTGTTGATATCTGCCCCAATCGAAACCATGATGATTGAGCTCATTTGTGACTTGCATTAAGCGCCAAGAATAACGCTTAAACTTTCCGCTCTACAATATCAGAAACGTAGAGTATTCGCACTCAGAGCGAGCAAGGTCCATCACCGTGTGGAACGTCACGCAAAAGGCGGCTGGTCCGTGCGGCACCTCGCCTGAACTGAGTCGCACATCTCCCGATCAGTCCCTGTAACCTGCCGACAAAGAACATTTTCCAGGGCGGTGTGTATTGCGATCCACATCAGCGCAGGTGGCGGTTATGCAGCGCACCCAACACTTTCCATAGTGGTCTGACCTGAAATGAGGCAAAGCCCAGATGTCTTGGTAGGGCGAAATAGATTGCGTCGGAAGATACCTTGGCATACCGGCACACGGGCCTCACAACGCCGGAAGACAGATAGAGGAAAAGTCGACATGACCTATGACATCACAGAAGCCCCAGAAAGATTCCCACCATTCTTGTTTGCCTGGAAAATATGATACAGCTGCTGGTATTTGGTGTGTTTTGCCTAAGGCTTACTTCAATCACTGAGGGTAGAAGTATTTCGATTAGCTCCGTGCAATTGAACAAAGCACTTGGGGGACAGTGCGTAAGCGAGTGCCTCTAACCGCCGTGATGGGCACATACAGTCTTACTTCTGTTACAGCCCACCGGCACGATCAAACACCCAGTTCTTTCCCGAAGCGGAAAGTGTACGAATCTCATCCCGAAGTAGCGGTGGATTTTGTGGTTTGATATGTTTGCGTCTTGTTCCCAATAATCTACACCACGATGCACCTGATCAAGGTCTTGCATGGGTTAGACAATCTGCTCTAAGCAGTAGTTTTGGTTCTTTCTAATGAAGCTCATGTTTGTCGCGCATCTTTCTGTGTTGGGAAACTTTGCGAGGTAGTGCCTCCAATCTATCAAGACATTCCTGAGTCTACTGTGTCCAGAGGCTTTACGGTAACATATATCTAAAAGTTCTCAATCCTGCTCATCGTCCTGCCACTTCCTACCCTCAAGGTATCGACCATACTTCCTGCCTATCGTTGGGGGTCCTATTCGGCCTTCTAGTTACCCCCACTCCAGCCGATATCCAGTATCATGGCCAAGGTAAGCCATCGAATCCCGTCCTTGCGCTGGGCCATGTTGTGGACAGTCTGCGCGAGATTTGCTGACAACTCAAGCGTGCCCGAAAGTGCAAAGCTGCGGCCGTTTCCCAGGGAGGCCGTCGTTGCCGCAATGACGCGAAACATCCACGCCCACACAACCTCCACGGCAAGCTTGCACGCTGCAAGATGCACCAGTCCGACAAGCCCGACTGGAACCAGAACCTGAACATTGACTACCGCACTGTGAATCCGCCGTTCGTTCGCGATTCTAACAGCGATCAAGACTACGACGATAACTTTGAGGTCACGGACGAGGATGTATCTGAAGATGAGTCTGACGACACAGATCACAACGACAAACGTTCTCGCTATGGGAAATCTCCCCTTCTGGATCGTTTCAGCCCCGATCGGCGTAGCACTGCTGCGAGATCGCCTCGCGCTTCATCTCTACGAACGCGAACGCCTACCCCATCGCGCCGTGTCCGCTCGCACTCTCGGTCGCGCGGCTCAGTTACACCTGACCGTCTCTTCAAAGTCCGCTCGACTGAAAACCTGGACGCCATTTCGCAGGTCCTCGGTGTAGACCTTGCACAGCAGATGCTCTCGTCAAACGCCGATGCTATTCGCCAACACGATGAAGTTGCTCGTCTCCAGCAAGGATACGATGCCGATAGGGAAGACGAATTTGCGACGACAACTCTTGACAGTATATCTACCCTGTTCGATCAAGTCGCTTCTCTCAACCACTCAATCGCCACGATGTCAATCGTCAGTGCAGGGATGGCTGATGGGGTGGATTCCAAACACGGAGTTGAGAGTCAGGAACGAGATGGGGTGAGCATGAGGCAAGAGACGCGGACACGTAAGGGGAAGAGTAAGATGACGGGAAGAGTGGTGGACAGCAGGAACGGTCGTGGTGATCGCTACACACCTTTCTGAAGGGGCTTTGGACGACTTCGACAGAAATCAGGATATTCGATGCGCTGGAAGATGATACAATGGCGTCTTTTCATGTTTTTCCTTTGTACTTAGATTTCCTTAGACACACATAGACATGCCTCTCTATACTATATTTGCTTGTTTCAATCAGTCAGTGTCGATGGCAGTGCAAGTGTGTCGCTTTTGCAAAATTGCTTAGTGCATTGTGCCACTTATGCTTCGCCTGCTTCTGGAAAGACAAGTCAGGATACAACATGCCTTGGAATACCCCTACCAGGTACAATCTCTCTATGCGTGGATACCATCACAGTCTTTCTGATACATCGAGCACTGATGTCTTCCCTTACGCATGAACAAGATAAAGAAGGAATGAGACAAAGTACATGTGAAACTATGTTGAGGCTCAGGTAAAATGCGATAGACTTCATAGATTAACCTCTTTCGATCTTCCGATGGTCTCACACTCAAACCATGTCTCTCATCCATACATGATCAGCTGTTATGTGCTTGCTTCCTCTTATATCTACCTGAGCTCTTGTTGATTTTGACGCCGCAAGATATTTGGCTCGATAACTGATCTTCCAGTATGGTTGACACACGGCTTGACATGCTTGTTGATCGTTTGGAAGCCGCTCGTATGAAGCTTTCCAATCTCAACTTGGCGAGGGAAGATGGCGCCGCTCTCGACGATCCAGTGTATCGTGACCTCATCGGCGAGCTCAGCAGTGTTCAAAAAGACTATTTCAAGGTACAACTTCAGTTTGCGCAGAGAGAGGACGGAATTTGCTAATACATCAAGTTTATCGAGCAAGACGACCAAGAGAGACTTGCCGTTGCGGAGATGCAAGTATCTTATCAGAAGAAACAAGAAGCGGAAGAGAACCACAAGACTATACAACTTCTGCGGGAAGAACAGCTCGCACGCGGTAGTTGTGTGCGGGCCGTTGTAGTTTTCAAACCGAGCTCTCCAAACGCGAATCCAACCCTTCACATTGAGGACAACAATACCATAGCACTGGGAAGCGAATCATATACCTTTGACCGCATCTTCAATCCTGGCTTCAAGATCAATGACATATCGCAATATCTGGAACATAGTAAGTCTATCGAAGAAGCCTTGGACTGCCGGAACTTGGTCGTCCTAGCATGCGGTCCGAGCGGGACCGGGAAAACTCGACTCATGATCCGCGGTGAGGATGAGGGGGTTGCTACATCTTTGGTGTGCAATATGGTCAATCGTTATACATCCAATGCGAGCATCAAATATCAAGGGACATGGTCAGCGAAGGGATCTGTCACTTTGAAAGTAATCGAGGTGTATAACAACCGGCTATCAGACTTCCTCGTACAAACGATTCCGGGGTCAAAGGATTCGAATTCAGGAGTCAAAATCCTAGGTTCCAGTTTCTACAAAGATGAGGCTGGATCTCACCCAATTACAGAGAGGAATGTCAAACAACCACAAGATCTTCAATCGACGTTGACCGAGATCAACAAGTTTCGGGCCTCCAAACCGACAAGACAGAACCCTACAGGCTCGTCAAGGTCACATCTCCTACTCATATTCACTTTGAATCTGGAACATCGATCTTCTGGGCTCGTTTTCGTTGATCTCGCCGGCACCGAAGCAGTTGATGCAGCGCCGAGTGACGGAAAAGGTCAATCAAGCGGTCAGGAATCGAAGAAAATAAACCAAGAGGGCAGTCATATCCGTGACGATCTGTATCAATTACGAGCTGTCATTCGCACTTTGAACAAGAAAGCACCCTACAACGATGGGAACAGAAAAGTCAGTTACTTGTTGCATCTCGATAAAGACCTTAGCTAATACATTACCGTAGTTGTTGGCTGCACTTAAGCCCTATCTCCAATCTACTCATGTCACGTACGTTGTTACTGCGGCTCTCGACGGTCAAGTCAAACCTCTGCAGGAGACGCTTAAGCATGCCGTAGAAGCCATGAGAGTGAAAGCCAAGGAGACGTAAGACCAGCTCTCAATGATGTCGTAGGTATCGCGCGGGGACCGGGAATTTGCAAGCTGGCTGGTGTCTGTCTTCTATGAAACTTTGGCAAATTTACCCTCTAATCTTTTGTTGGCTCGGAGTTCTGGAGTTTGAGAGGCTGGTTTCATTTACACATAGATTGAAATGTTGCTTGATGACTTGATCGCACTTATTCGATGACTATCCAACGTGATGTGAACGGAGCCTTCGGAATTTGATCCGGGTACATAGCAACCTTGGCTGGACATGCTGCTCTTACGATCTTGAGACTTCGGAGTGCATACTTACAATACCAGAGGATGACATTTCAAGGCTAGCTCCGCTTCTGTTGCAGGTTGTCGCGATTACCTCAGCGTCTTGACCGTATGCGTGCAAGACTTCGAGTCGATTGTTATCTCGCGATCCACCCGGCACCGGCATCTTCAGACCCTGCAAAAGACCCCCAGCAAGGGAAAAGAAGCATCGGTTTACGGAGAAAGGCCGCGCAGTCGACGCCCGTCCCAAAAAGATGGAGAATCGTAAGGATGCCGCAGTGTGTTCTCTGAAACCATAATTGTCCTCGGGTGGCGATGGAGCCAACTCGCGTGTGGACGACGGCCCGACATCCAAGAGCCAGAACTTTTTGCGTATTGAGAAGATCACACCCTCCCTTGTGTATTGAAGACAGAGAGTTGAACGCGGATGGCATGGTGAAGGACGAGAAACCAACGGAAGCGATAGATGGACATGGGCGTGCCAAGTGGCATGCTAATCTAGCGTCGCGCTAAACCAAATGCCTTTTGGTAGAAAAAGTTTAGTCTGGCCGACGATGTCCGGCGAAGCGATCCAAGCTGGATTATGGGCGGGGAAGATATTTCTGGTGACTCATTCATCTAACGCCTGCGATCACTGGTATTCAATCATCGATGCTGAGGTAAGCTAACTCAGCAGGCTGAACGAGATTGCGCGAGACTGAGATGCGTTCATCGCGAGTAAGGAACACGATCACTACTACAACGTTGACGCTCCTTTTTGTTTTTGTTCTCTCCTTGATATGAAGATTGGTATGTTCAAACAACCGTCTTGTTTGAACAACACCATCGAGTTCACACATCTACTCACTGCCATGCATCCTTCACAAGCTGCAAATCGAGCGCATCTACTACTCTTCTTGCGCAGATCGCACGGCACAGAATCAACTGTCTTCACGAGATGGTGAGTATACTCAGACTACCGCGTGTGTGCCGACCTTGCGGAGATTCGAACGGCAACTGCATTCTTCATTGAAGAATGATGGAAAACTTGGGGAACACGACATCTGCACTCAATTTCGAAATTGCCTTGCCGCCGTCTACATACATCTAGTTACGATATGCACGAGTGCATGCCTGGATCGACGACGCAAGAACGCAACGTCGACCAGAAGGCACATGCTCATGACCAGCGGTCTTAGGATACATTTTCGACAGGCCCAGAGATACTCTTCAGTACATCGAACTACAATACGCTCACTAAACCTCTACTATTAGTTCGACTGACTTCGGAACTCAAAATTGTATCGTGGTCATTGATTTCCCAAAGGTCAAAATTTTGAACAAAAGGTGAATTGCTATCTTGTTCTTTGGCGTTTGGTAAATGTCGTATATTGAGGCCCTCCATGCATTTCTCCGTTTCCATTCTTCCTTTCGAGCTCTACTCTGTTGGTATACGTTCCCAGTTAATCCAGGGCGGTAGATCTATGAAGACATATATGTATCCGGCACTTCACGAGCACATGATCCCGGCCAGAGACGAAGACTGGCTCCAAGGGTGTAGAGACCGATACTGGCTGGCAACAACTCTCATCCCATGATATCCCATGAGCGCGACGAGCACATCACCCCCGCCAATGCTCTTTCTAGATCAGGACAAGCTTACAAGACCGTTTATTATGAGTGGAGATGCCGTCCTGCGCCGCCCACGAATCACTGCGGCCAATAATGCACTTCCGATTGACCTTTACGCGCATGCAACTGGATAAAGTCCAGAGATGGTAGTCAGTTCCCGCGGAAGACGGACGGATAGAACGGCCCGTACATTGATATCTCTGGGCAGAGGTGAAGACTGGCTCTGCACACAAGTAGATGCATTCATCGACGCAAAAGTCGTTCTGTCTCCATAGTTGCGACAAGCTCATTATACAGTCTATTTATATCGAAGATGGACTCTCAGTGTACGACGTAACCTATAATCCGCTAACTAAGAACCCCAGATTTCCGCCCAGCTAATGGCCAGTTAGATCGTGCCGGCAAATCGGTGTTATGCGCCATGTTGGAGTTTTCTTGGTGTAGAATTTCGAATTTGAAGTTCCTCGAACTTGTGCTACACGATCTTATTGGCCGAGATCCGCGGGTCTTAGGTCGCGGATCATAGAATACCCGTAACAGCCGGTGACTAGCTTCGGGCAACCCCTGCTCGCTCACGTGCTCTGGGAAGATGGAACGACGCCGCGTTGTAGTTTGGGTTTCTTCGTCGTCAAGCGATTCGCTGGTTTCATACCTGCGAAGGAGACGTACCTGACAGATCTTGGGTAATTTTCCTCGTCTCAATACATGATCCTGAAAAGTTGATGTAAGAAACGTCATGTGACGCGGATCCCTGCGATTCGTTTGGTCTGGGGCTGGCTCGGCTCAACGCATCATCGCCATAGACGGTCGCGAGAGCACTGTTCCGCATCATCGCGACCGTCGCATTACTGCAATCGCTTGTTGGAATCACACCTGAAACAGCATCGCCTACTGCTCTGTCGTTTCCAAGCGGCCATTCTTGGTGCACCTTGGGTTTCGTTCCAGGCATGGCTGCTTCGTCGCGGCGGCGTCCAATGCGCTCCGGAACCGCTCTGCGCATTCGTCTGCGCGCCTTCACCTGTCCGGCTGAGCAAAAAGCAACGCGTTCTTCTGGCACTCCATTGATGTCATCCGGTCGCTTTGTGATGATACTGGCTTTGGTGTGTGCTTTGACGCCCTTGTGTACTGATGTTCCGTAGGCTCATCCACAGCGCGAACGCAGTGCGCATTGTAGACCGAGGACAGCATGGTAATTGCCATGGCAGACGACGGCACGTCTGCATAAACCGACTTCGAGACCTCTGCGGCTATGGCCACGGCCGCGACCACGACCACGGCCACGACTATGCCCGCGCCCAGATGCACATCTCACCGTCGCTGTCATGGTGTTCGCGAGCAGCGAACGACCGTCAGGCATTGTAGCTCGCGCCCGGCCCAACCTGACCATTCTACTGCGTCGCTCGCAAGGCCGGTGGACAACACGATACCTTTAAAGCGACCTCGCATCCTTTGGCGTGGAGCCTATGCGCCTTAACGCTGTCAGGTCGGGCTTTCTCGCCGCTGCAATGGCGCGCGCACAACTCAACGAGCGCTGACGAAATAGGATATGTGCAGAGTGTGCACGAGGGATATACTGCTTCTGGGGTCGTGGAGTATGAGATAGACGTGAGTGGATGGTCTCCGGACTAGCCGTCAACCTGCCTGGGGCGCAGAACCCACCTCCTTGAGCAGCCGAAGCGCAATCTCAGAAGTGCCGTGGCTACTGCTGATTCCGGAGGCACATGATGGGACAAATTCCTGGAAGATGACATGGCTCGGATCTACATGGTCAGCCTGCCTGGATCTTCTCGTATGTCTGGAGGCGCCCTCCAGCACTTGTCGCGAACGGCTTGATGATACACAGACACCGCGGTGTTGCGCTTTGTAACGCTACCCATAGGGTCATCGTCGTCACCTCAAAAGTCAGTGCCGCTGCTATTATGGTATGGCTTCGTTATACTACACCAATAGTACCTGCTATCTTCCACGTGTTCATTTGATCCACTGCGAAAGTGACGTTGATCCGCCGCTCCAGCGCAACGGTGAAGACGTCCTGGTTCATCTAACTGGAGCACTCTGTACCGCCGATATCCATGGTCATGACGTTTGAGATACACGACTATCCAAGAGAATCAACTTCTTACAAGCCGTTCTGCTATAATAGCATATATTGCGAGCGTCAAACGATCTGTAAGAATTACTTTCCTTCAATTGAGAGAACTGTGCACCTATCATAGAAAGCATTAACATCACCTTGTCGCGACCCATCTCAAGACTTACACCCACTCGACTGGAAGTTCCCCTCCTGCCGAACAATATCCATCTTCCGCATCTTCCCGGATTGTGGTGCTCGACTTTGGACTTACCAAGTCAAGCAGGACCACGAGCTCAGCTACAGAAGGAGTCCGTACAACTTTGACACAGCGACCGGCTTACAATTAGACAGTCTGACAAGGTCTCGACCAGGCGACGCTCGAGTCACAGGATCACACTATGGGGCGCCGACAAATGTGATGATTGAGAGGTCCATATACCTTACAATTCCGCTGTCACACTGCCGCACGATTATATCATGCATCCTGAACACAACATGCATAACACCTTCCAACATGGGGAGCTCCGGACTAGACACATGATGGGGTAGAGAACAGTGTGTACTATATCCTTCGAAGTTGCATTGCAAGATCGTAGGCTGACGCCAACTACTAGGTGCAAACCCCTTCTTTCGTGACCCCTCCTGTACACCGGTTTTCATCGAGCGTGACTTGAACTCAGACGTTGGCCTAGCAAATGAGAGTACGACTGCAACCGATCTCATCGGCAGAATATCGGTCAGCAATGAGCTGAGCTGTAGTAGCACTTATAAATGACTGCCCGATCATGTGCTATAGAACGACTTTGGTTCCTAGGATTAACGACGGAAGTACTACGAGACTCACAATGGACACATGACAGATAACAGGTGCAGCGCAGAGATGGAGTTGCTTCCTCATCGCTCCCTTTACACTGCTGTGCGCCTGGATGTACCGTCACGAGCACGACATCACGACACTTCCCGTCTCCAGAGCCCCGGATTCGTTGGACGAGCAGACCTTGAGCGACTTGATCGAGACTAGTACGCCGTGGGAAAAGCGACTAGAGCGAACGCGGGCTTGAGGCGGCCCACTACCGTACCGCCATGAAGAGGACGCTCGTCTGTTAGCCTGTTACATTCGATTTGCAAGAAAAAGGGCATCCAAGTCCTTGTCAACTCCGATTGGTCAGTCATTCGATGTGTCCGAGGCGTTTGAGTGGAGATTCACATCTCAGTTCTACGGGGAGTGAGATGGGCGAATCATAAATCGCCGAGATGAATTATTTCCCCACAGCCATCATGGAACGCACCACTTCCACCCGGATGTATCGTTCAGGTAGATGAACGGTATTTACGCTTTTGTGCCGAACTCATCTTTGAGACGATAATCGGCACTTCGGTCATTGCGTGGAAACCTTCATCTCGGCAGCGCGGTGACGGAAACAGCGGTATAAACCAACTTGATGGCCCAAATGCGGCTGTGTCAAAACCGTCGACGCATATCCTATTACAGCGATTGGAGCGCACATCAAGCGAGGGTATTGAGACTGCAAGTTACTGCTCCCGCAAGATCAATGCGTGAACTTGGCCGCCGTGGACGGTCATCGAGCGACAACAAAGAGAACAATGCACACAACTCAAAAGATGCACTGACTCTTATTCAAGGTACACCTCGAGACACTCTGTGAGCACATTGTCCACAACTAATACCCCTGGTATCGCCAGCCGGTCATCATTGCGGGTTTCCGCCGTAGATCCATCGGTCCTCCGCGACGGCTCCTCATGAATCGCCGCGAGAAAACGTAGCTTATTCCCAAATGGCTGTTCACTTTATAGGCCGCCTGGTACCATCATCTAGCGGTACGAGATCCGAGTGCCGATATCTCAATGCGCGTAATCTCATCCACGCACTGCGAGTCATGCGCCAGAACTGCAAACTATGTCGTTTGCCTCAGTATAGAAAAAAGCCCTCGGGCCAGTTCCCACGGCAGAATTTTGCCGTGAACTATGTTCCTAACGGTATTGAGAGGATCAATGAAGCGAGCTGTTCAGACACCACATCCGTCACGAACAAATCTGAACGAGCCAACGACGGCAACGACACCCACGATTACGATATACAGACATGACGATGCGGTCTCTCACCAATGCAACACTGATGACCTTCAAAGAATGTGATTCAAGGCGCGCGAGGGGAGGCGGTCTTAAGCGGCTTGTCAGATTGGAGCGCAGCGCGGCATCGCGAGACTCAATACACAATGGAAAAGGGCTACTTGGAAGATGATAGGCAACTTGTGGAGCCTCCAGCTTTGAACAATCCTTTACGAAAGACTTGCTCGGCCCCCAACGATTTTGCGGAATAGTATGAAGAGATGGGCCGTCTTCCGACTTTCTAGTAGAAACCGTTGAAGCCGAGTATTCAGTGCTGCAGGAGTCGGTCAACAGACCGTTGAAGTCATGCAACTACAATTCACCCAGAAGACGCAGTGGTAGTTTAAAGCCCCAGTAATACGTTGATGTAGCTCTTTAACCTAATTTGGTGTAGTGCATGGCCTTGTTATGGCAGCAAAGAACTCTACTAAGAAGACAGTGAGGGCGTAGGGCAGTTGGCTTCAAGAGATGCAATGTCCCCACAAGATCTCCTTGGCCATATCCTTGACAATCTTTTTCATCAGGATGGAGACGATTGTCAGAAGTTCGCATAAGATTCAGGTTGAGGTTAGCACGTCTGTTCAACTTTCTGTTTATACAGAGCCAACCTTGCACTACCACTCCCACAATGACACTGCTTTTCCATTCCTGGTTTCAAAGCCGTGCGAGAACGAAAGTCCTTGGTTCGTTGCATTACCCTCCTCATCTCGCCTCGCAAATTCTCCGGAGATTGACTGATCGATGCTTGCTCACCTTACTCGCCTCACTCACCTCATCCGCCTCATCCGTTATTTCGCTCTCATGCGTTCCTGTCGGCTGATCCAGATGCGCTCTCAATCAATGCTAAAAGTTCCTGCTCCTTTGCTCGTTGATGTTATTGATATCCGTCCTAACAATGAGACATCCCTTCCCCGATGCATCCCAGTCGGCCAGCGTCTGATATGAGGAGGGCTCAGCTTTCTTTTCCTGCCTGTTCTGAAGAGAATATTCACCGATCTACAATGCTTTGGTGCTTGGGAAACTACGTCTAGTGAGCACGAGCATGAGCAAGCTGAAACCCAAAGATTGTCAACGAGCGGACGTCGAGTAAGCAAAGTGGAACCTCTTGATTCGGTTGGCCGTGCTAGTCGGGCTGAGGAGATTACGCGAGATTCAGGACACTTGATATCCTACAATGGGGGGTTCGCGATTCTAGGATGACTAGGAATACAAAAAATCATCGCATCTCTCTATCAACATGCCAATGTGTTTGCACGACGTCGCGTTGTTTGAACATAGGAACTCATGGGGCAAGTGAAAGAAGATCAAGTCAGATTTGAAGCAGACTCGTTTTGATCCGTAGTCGCTTCTGTGATAGGACATTCGACAAAGATATGAGATGGGCCAATTATAACAAGCGCTGGAAGGCATTCGTAGACTCAATCAATGTGGATATAGTATCAGACCATCGACTACCGGCCCATCCATGACAACGTTCTGCTCGATATCACCGAGCCTCTAAAAATCTTGTTTGTTACCCCAAGCTCCCTCGTCATTGCCGAAGATGTGCCCGTCCAACAACCTGCGCTGTTTTCGGCATTTGAACTGGGTCCGTACTGTGGGAATTAAAATTTGAGGAAGCACATGTCTTCGATGTGTCTAGCTGTATTCAACACTTGTCTCGTTTACATGCATAGTGTTGTGCACAGTCGTTGTGGTGGAAATGTTGCCGACCTTCACAGCACCGTCCGTTGATAATCTGGAAAGCTTCCTCAATGGTTCTGGGAAATTTGAACATCGTTTCTCTCAAGGATGGGGATCCAGCGCATTGAAGATACGTTGGTTTGATCGCTGTAGTCGTGGAGTGCAATGCTGAGATGGCGTCGTCAAGATTTGTCGCGGGGCCGATCATGTGTAACAGTTCTTCCATAGCTCACACGACTCATTCCTCACTGCTTGAACGCTCCCGCTGAGCGCTCGTACTTGAGCTCGTATCCGCGATTAGGCGAACCGACTGACATGCGATATTAGTTGTTGAGCAGTCGTATACTGTTCAACCGCCATCTTCGTTGCGGTTGATCTGGGCGCCATGAGAAGGAAAGGGCGTCATTGTCGAGGAATGGAATCTGATAGATCTTGGCCGTCTTGGCCAGCTCGTCAGCGAACGTTAGCCCAAGAGTCATCCGGCCCCCAATGCATTCGATTCTTGTAGGTCGATGTCGTTGTCTTGCATGGTATAATCTTGCAACAGCTCGGATTGACATGATGAACGTCTCGCGTAAGAACAGGACATGAACAAATATGCACCCGGGTCCGGTATGATCTTCCATGTGACGCTGGGCCCGTATCCGCGGCCGAGCAAACAGCTCAACATACAACGTTGGTTGTATCTATGGTATATACGCGTCAAGATGCTCAAGCGACGCCCCATCCACCACGTTGCTTCTCAATCGATATGCCCAGAGGGGGAACGGATAGTGTATGTCGAGGAAGACCGGGGCGCATAGATCCTGGTCGCCCCGATAGTTCATAGGAGGTTGTGCGAGCAGGAAGTGGATGTTCCCGGATATGGAAGCCACGAATGTACGGCGCCACGCTATCGTGGTCAGGGGCGTGATCGGGACCGTGATCGCGCAGAATGCCTCAGGGAAGCCGTCCAGGATATTGTGGGCTTAGGGCTTGTGGACATAGCTAGGCTGACTCCGCTGTGTTAGCTTGTGTCGTACCATTGTCATGGGGGACGGGCTGCTGGCGCAAATGAAGGCACCATGTTCTCCTCGCCACAGACTGAGATTATCCCACCAATCTGCGTCCACGACGCTCTATCAGTCACTGAGAGGCAATGGGTAGGACACAGATTGTATGAAGCACAAGCACACGGCATATGTGGAGGCCTCCGTTGTGTAGGAGTTCGCATTCATGGCCGCTTGTGAACCCTGCTGCTCATCTGCACCATAATCCCGGGGCTCGCGAAAAGAGTAGCGACTCTGGAACTCTTCCCAACACAAAGATGATCCCGGACCCTGAGTTGTACGCGCCATATGAGCTTCAATAGAGAAGACAGCAATGGAATTATCAGGGCGTGTTGTTCAAGTCATGCAACACGCGAGTGGGCATGTGATAGGTTGTAGACGGCGAACATACAAGTACGCGGGAGAGGGCTGGTGGGCAATTCGATACCGGTCGCTTGCACAAGGGTAACCAGCTCGTAGAGCTGTCCAGAGCGAAGATCAATGCGAGTTCTATCCCAGGATGACATCTTTGGCTGTGCGGCGGTGCGGCGTCACGGTGGTGTGAGCTCGAAAATACGAAGGGCGACCTGGAGCGTCATCGCATGTGAGCGGCAAGCTCAGGGATGCTATCGCTGAGTTATGTGACCGATTGTATCAGGAGTCGTAATGCGGCAACGAAGTGGTGTGACAGTGCGAGCTGGGGCGTCATCATATCTGAGGGAGTTCGTGGTCTCCGACAGTGCTCGAGGTGAGCGGGGGTGGGCCCGACTAAAACATCAGCTTTCCGCTCGTCATTCTCCACTTTGATCGCCAATCAGCAGAGGAAAGTCTAAGCGAGCAAACCCCCGTGACTAGCGCGCTCGTCAACACCTTCTGATATCAACGCCAGCAAAACCACAAAGTCGCTATTACCTTGGACTTCTGGTCGCAACCGAGCTAGGAATTTATTTTGGGGATTTGCTCGAGCTCTGGGATATGCTCGACGTATGATCTCGGCTCGGGGCTATCGTGAGCTTGATTAATCTCTTCTTGCCTGTTTCTGCCAAGTCGGTATCGTCAACAGAAACATGAGATGACCACCACTTATACTTAGATATTAAGCTTGCATCAATCTATCTGACTTTCGTCAGTACTTAAGTACAATCATAAACATTGATCTCGGTTCAGGCCTAATCTGAAAATGTCGAACCTTCGGCTACGTGGTGATTGGCTTGCTTGGTTTTTCCAAGCTCAAATCATCCTTGAGAGCAGAGCATCAGACACGATAATAGAGCCTCCAATCCTGCTCTCAAGTCTGTTCGTGGCGTCGATTTACGACCTGATCTCGGCTTGGACCTTCAATGTTGGGGTTCAGCTGAGGCTCGCGCTCGCGTCCAGCTCGATTTTCTCAAATTTTGTCGGGGGTTCAATTCGGACTTTCACTTTACCTTACGACTCCATCTCATCATGCTCTCGCGAGGTAGTTGTTCTCAGCTGGGTCTGCTTCTCTTGTCGCATTGTGTTTGCTCTTTGTCTCATGCTCTTTCATTGCTGTGATCCGGACTTCCAGTTCGCCAGATCTCATCAGTCCACCGAATCCATCTGAGAGGGTTCCGGGGACCAGATAAGTCTCTCGTGGAATGAGCGGCCAACAGTAAAGAAGTCTTGTTCTTGCGCCACTCAAATCCAAGGGCATGATTAGTTGCGACATTTCTCCCAAGCAAAAGCATAAGTGGTTTAGTAACCCTTCTACGCCGAACCCGGTAACACTATGGAATGACGAGTGGAAGCTCACATATCCAAAGGGATCTCGTAAAACCTACAGACCCTGTCGAGTGTATAGGAGCTCGCATCTCCTGGTAGAGGCGCAGGCAGAAGACATGATTGTATGGGAGCTCGATCGCTCAGACTCAAGTCATCACTAGCACATTTGACGCCCGTTCTCAAGACATTGAGGGTTTTCTATCGTGGGGCATTCGAGAACTTTCATGACTCCATCCTTTCTGTTGAATATTGTTTTTACGGTCGTGAAAGTCGCGGACAGAACTACACATCTCTTGTCGACCTATGTAGAACGTTGTCCGTTTCAGAACGCGTAGCAAGCATCGTATCAAGTATAAGTCGCATAGCAAGACTAGGCTTGGGAAAGGTTTCGTCCAACTCAAAGATGTACAACAGTTCACCTCTAGAGGCAATCAGTCTACATAGTGAGAGGGATAGCTCTCGTGGCTGTACCAAATGCTCCACATGAGACGAGGGACCCTTCTCACAGCCTCTTTAATACCCCG